GTGGACGCCACTTGACCAGTGGCGCCCACCGTGCACATGCCGACCCGCCTTGCACATGCACTCTAAGCCTTAGAGGCTAAGGGCCCAGGCAAAGTTGGAGCATCAGGTCAGCACTGAAAGGTGTTGAAGGGTTAAGGGTTTGGGGGTTCAGGGTTTAGGGGTTTATGGTTTAGGGATGTTTAGGGTTTAGGGCTTAGGTTTTTTAGTGGGCTTGGTGCCAATTCCTAAAACCTTAAACCCTACACCCTAAAGCACTGGCTTAATATTATACTTTTGGGGCTTAGGCCTTTGGGGCAAAGAGGTGTAGGGTTCAGGGGTTTAGGTTTTGGGGCTGAGGCCTCTGGGGCAAAAAGTCAAGATTTTACTTGTCATAAAGAGAAGCATAAAGAGAAGATGTGGTATTTAAGTAGGGGCTGGCCGGTATTTAGGTTTGCTTGGCCCTAGTTTACTTGCTTCTTTCTCAACCCTGCCGAGCTATTTGTAAGCCCTGGCCCTAGGACAGAGCTCTCTGGAATTTCGTTTGGCTGCAAATAGCATCGGGTACAACTTCTGACAGCCGCAGTCCCAGCTTGTTGAGTTGACCCTTCAGGTCATTTAAATGGGCACTGCAAAAGAGTCATCAGAGCTTACCCTGTACTCAGTATCAGGACCTGGCTGAGTGAGGGCACGCCCTCAACATGAGCGAGTATGCCATGGAGTATGACATGATGCTTGAAGACTGGCCCCTTAAACCCTAGACTCTAAACCCCATGACAACTGAAGACGGGTCCTGCCAGAGCACAGGCATGATGGAAAGCAGCTCTGAAACCTGCTCGGTGCAGTCGTCCAACTTGCAGAATAAGCAGAATTTTGCCTCCGATGCCAGAGAAGAACTCCAAAACCTCAGGTGAACCAAAATGCGACCCGCTAAGCGTCCGAAAAATCGAAACGTGCAGCTCCGTGCTTCCGGCCCGGAGCTGTGCCAGCGGACGGCCGCCTTTTCCCGGTTGCCAGGCACCTCAAACTTGCAAGTGAATTCGAATGCGCCATTTTGTTTTTCATGCTCTTGCCAAGCCACGAGGTCTGGCCTCGCCTACCATGCCTCCGGACCTCGAGATGGCTCCACATGATGCCCGTGGTGGGAATGGCAACAAACGTGCAACAACCCCGTGCGACTCAGTGGCACCCAAAGCTCCTGCTGTCCTGAGCTCTTTCACCGTCAACAAAATCATCTGCGACTTTGAAGCTGCACGTAGGCGACCATAAAATCTAGAAGCCTTAGCAGCCTTAGCATGTCGGTCTGCTTGTAAGCAAAGCTTCCTCGAAGAAAAGTGGCAAAACGGCCATGGTTCTGCCGGCGCTCAATGCCCCACTCCACAGCGGAGCCAAGCTCCGTCAGGCTGCGCAGGGGCGCAGGGCTTCACAGCTCTCAAAAGCATCAAGTTATGAAGCGTGCGCTTTGATGTGTTTTGTGCTTTCCCGTCAGAAAGACCAGAGAAGAAGGGTGCAACACTGCGGTTCCAGGGGGCATGAAGGTCGTTGTGCAATTTAGTGCATTCATTATCGTACACTGCTTTGACGCTTGAAGGGTGCCACAGCATGCTTGACTCTTGCAGCCGAAGTAACTGCAAGGGCCGTTTAGCTTTGCGGAGCACGTCTTGTACTTCACGCAAGAGCATCGAGGCATCTGACAAATCGCCTGATGCAAAATGATCAGTGCTGGCAGTATGCGAATTGTCGGAATGTCTTCCATGTGACCTCACGCCGCAAGATTCCCGAAGTTTTGCCTGCCTTTTTGTTGCAATCAACGTGCCGGAAACCGCACTGTGAATCCGTTGCTCCACAGCGAGTCCCTTGCGAATCAACCACCCTGGGACCGCGCCTGCAACAACAGCCGTGTCCAGCTTGCAGGCCTGCGGAAAGCACTGAGTTTCATCAGAGCAAAGCCATGCCTTGGCTGGCTCTCTAACCTGAAGCTTCTGCCGACGCCGACGCCGCTGAGCTGGGGGGGCGCCATGTAGATTGTAAAGCACCCCGCAGGCTGCAAACCTCATGGAACGTTTTAGGATGCAAGCTCGCCAGCATGTCATGATACCTGGAGACGACAACAGTGAGGCTGGGTCTCCGCGCCAGATTGGGTGCGAATGGTGCCAGAGGGCGGGTTGTCTCCGAATGGCCTTTGGTACCGCATGCCTGGCGAGGCCAGGACGGTTGCAATTTCATTCCTGCCCCAGCATCGGGTGGCACATGGATGCACATGGTACCTGGCTGATGTTTGCATGTCGGCTGACTCTGAATCCTCACTCCTTTTGACAGAAGTGGAATGACCGCCACCACAGAGCTTTGACAGGCCTCTCTGTCTCAAGCGCTTCGACTGAACAACAACTGCCACGGGGGTGTCCATGGAAGCCTTGATGCCAGTTCTATGTCAATCCACGGGTCACACTGCTGCTCCGCTGGAAGAAGCATTCGCAACATCTTGGCCTGGCAGCTAGACAATTCCCTGCCTGAACCATGTCGAACCGCTATATCCGCGCCGATCATTAACATGGCAGCGGACAATTACAAGAGCTCTCGAGCTGACTCCACTTGTGAATGGCTTGTGGTGACATGGCTCCAAGCTCAACCAAAAGTTCCTGACAGACTTTGTTGCATATTGCTCTACATCTGTTACTGTGTTTAGCATTCGATGCAGCTGGCAGGTTCGTACCCTAACACATTATTCTGAATTATTCTAGGCTACTACTGCAGCCGCCGCCACGACGACCTGTGCTTCATCTTCCGCCAATTTCTGCCAATTCGTCCATCCATGTCCATGAGGAGTCGTTTTGCTGTCTTTCTTGCGCAAATTCTGTGTCGCACGGACTGCCAGTCAAGTTTCGACTAGCGGCACCTTCTGCTCCCGAGTGTGAAGCCCCTTTAGTGTCTTAAGCTGTCCCTCCTCTGCATGATGTAGCAACGTCCGCTTCAAGGACAAATGAGAATAATTTGGATTTTGAGGATCCTGTTCCCTAGACAGTGCATGTTGTGGCCACCTCAAGAATGCAGAATGCAGGGCAAGCTGTGGAAGGCTGCGCGCCCGGCCCTCACACTTCTCCCCTGCAGCTATGACTGTTGTGACAGCTATGAGCGCTTTGAGCCAAGCGGAGCAAATCAGCGCAATCAAGTTAAACAAAGGTGCACGGATAAGCCTGGGACCTGGGACCTTAAATACGAAGCGTGGCCTCTACACTGACAATTCTCTTGGTTCGGAATGTCTCTGTTCTGAAATCTGACTTGTTTCTGGCTCATGCCTGTTACCAGCTGTTTCGGCAAGGCGATGAGAGCTCTGGACCCAACATGCGCGCGCAGCAAAGATCGCACGCAACTCCCAAACCTCGTGCAGCCTGTTTATGTTTACCGTTCCCCCTCAGGCTTCTGTAGGGAGAGAGAGAGAGAGAGAGACAGACAAACAGACTTCCTGCGTGCGTCCACTCCTGCCGGGCCCTTCCTTGCAAAAACCTCGCCTCTGAGATTGGCGCAGCAGATCTCAAAAGCAGGTAACCCACCACCACAAGGGGGGAAGATTTCAACGACCTGCTGACAAGCTCAATGCTTGCTCTCAGGCGCTGCTTGCCAGATTCCGGGTGGCACATCAAATGCAATTTAGGGGACTGCGTCTTCATGCCCAGCCAGGATCATTTTGGTAGCAGCTGCATGCCCTGGAGTCCACGCAAGTCGCCGACTGAACAGAAATGCATGCTCCCATTTTTCCCCTAAGAGATAAGCTGTTTCTGGCCTGAGCCCAGAAGCGCATATCACATCATTACGTTCACTCAAGCTTCTCAGGCGGCGGACCTGAGCAAAACCCAGACAAGCTAGTACAATGCTGCACTAGCACATGTCACTGTCAAGCAAGACCAAACAGCTACAAACACAACTGGAAGGAGTAATGCGGGAGGGGGGTGCAGGAGGGAGAGGAAGAGAGCACAAAGCAGAAGAGCGACGGGACAGCTGGCAGCAGATCCAGAAAGAACTCGACACACTTGAAATGCCAGAGCCACGCTGGCCTGCCACTTTGAGCCTGCCTGACCATCTCCTCAAACTTGGCTTTCTCCTATCCGCAGGGAAAAATGGTCTTGCTGCGGGCTTGATCCTATTGCAGTCTATGCCCAATCTGAGAATGAATGCAATAGCATGCCTTTACAGAAGCCGGAAAGCCTGTTGTTCAATTTCAGATCCTAGACCGGAAGAGCAATCTCGTGACGTTTTCCAACTGCAGCTGAAATTGAGAGGATCCCTCTTGCGGCAACGTTTGCACTGGTGGTACTAAGGTCATGAAACGGATGCACATGCCACTCCAAGAAAGCACGAGGGTCCCCGCCAGTGGCCTGGAATTCTTGACTTTTGCAGGCTGTCAGACACTCCATGACTGTAGTTGGCTGGGCAAAATTTGGTCATCTACGTAGAGTTTATAAACACACAACAGACAAGAAGTGTATGACAAGAATCAGCTTCGTCCTGCTCCAAGGTATTCAGGCGGCCGAGAATCTCCTGAAAGGAGCAAGGGCAATGATTGAAACATTTAAAATTCTTGCATGATAGCAAACCAATCGCATCAAAGGATAAGTCTTTTGACCAAGGGAGCTGGGCGGACGATCGAGCGTGACGAAGGGAAACATAAAGGAGGGGAGTGTTTGACCGCAGTGGCTTGTGCTTTTTGGCTTCCCTGTTCGCCCCTCCACCATGCTGTAAGCGATCACTCGACGGGCATCAGCAGGATATCGTCCTGATATGTAAGCCTGTAAGCTGTTTCCATTGAAGCCTTCGTTGTATGTACAATCTTGAAGCACTGTTGTCGCTACGCCCTGAGAGCCTTGAAAAACTGATGATTCACCGCTTCTGCACATTGAGCTGTTAAGATGCCCGCAAGTTAAGTTGCTTTGGAACCTCTTCTTGCGTGACTGTTTCTCGTAGAAACGAAGGGTACATAAGACTTTTGAGAAAATTGTTTTGGAGTCTTGATTGTGGTTCTCTACAACACCTCCAAATGACAGCTATGAAGGTGCACGTGTGGGCAGCTTTTGTGTTTCATGTTGTTTTTGGACCCTTTGTCCTCTATGACAGCTTGGTGTGCCGCTGTAAGCTTGTAGTCGTTTGAGGCTGAAGACCCGAAATGATGTGGGGCGCAATTTCCAATTTCCCGCGAACAAGGGTTCAGGTTCAACCATGTCGCTTTAAAGGTTCAGTTGCTTTAACGAATGCGCATGCATAACTGCTCACAATCGGATTAGCAGTCCTCCACGGATCCACCTGAGCAAAAGAAAGTAGTGCATGTGAAGGTCACTAGAGACAAGTGAGCATTGCAGGCCTTCCTCCTCTTCCCCAGCCTGGCCAGCTTTCGAAGGTCATCTTACGGCTCCGAATGCAAAGCCGTGCTCTACGCAACGGAAGGAAAGCCCACAGGGTCAGCTGCAATGATGACCAGCGCATGGATCCCTACACTTTTTCAACTCTGCAGACTTGCGAAACTTGTGTAGTTCGGACTTCCAGGAATGGCAAGCTTCAAGGTAAGTGTACCAGACAATGGTGGCGTCGACTACATCTTGGCAGCATCTTAGGCACTCGCGTCGCCGTTTAGAAAGCTGAAGCAAGATGCCTGCATGAAGTTTTCACTCAGCAGGCCAGCGCTTTCCATCGCCTCGCAGCACAGTCCGCAAAGGCAAACAAAAGCTGAGGACACCTTTTCGCAAAGTTATCATCCGAGGTCCTCAATGGTGCCTTGCCGGCCACCTGTCGCCTTAGCCCATTTGAATTGGTCGAAGAGCCTTTGTTGGATATTGCTGCCCCACTCACAAATCAAATCAGTATCCTAGGCGTAGCTTCTTCAAGTCACAAGATGTAAAGACGAAAGAGTGCGGAAAGCTATCTTGCTGATGATGTCACGCTGCTAGCAGACCTAGGCGTCAGCTTTCCATTTGGGAAGCCTCTTACACGCTGTGTCTAGCAGGACGCCCCCAAGCTGGACATGGTGCAGTGTATGGTCATATGCGCAAAGAGCGCCCTAGTCCAACATGTAGGGACTGCTTGACAACAAACTTGAACGATGATGCGTTACGGTTTTCACTGAACTTCACTGCGACTTCAGCAGATTGCCAGTAAACAGTCGCACGGGAGGATAGACATGCCCCAGCAACCAAGAAAGCGCGCACAGACATAACATAAACGTTCTCAGCATCGCTCAGTCGGAAGGATCATCAGACTCATGGCATGGGTGGGCCTCGATCTGCCGAAGTGCGCGCCTCGTCTATTCAAAAACAGCCAGTGTAATCTTCATGATTGCGTACCCGGTATGAAACTTACTGTAAAAAAAACTCAGGATCCGCATGTGCCACCCTCTACTTGTAATGCTCCATCTCCACTCAGCAGAGTGGCGGGCGAAGCTGTCAAAAATATGCAGCCCTTGACAGCGCAAGAAGCTCGAGAAGCTGAGGTTAAAGCTCCATCTGGTCAGCCTGGAACAGAGCTTACAGTTGGCTAGACCCTGACAGTGTTATCCTGGGAGTCACCTTGCAGTCTCCCCTTTTGGTGGGAGATGCGTCTGCCGTCATCTGTGAAATTAGTTGGGATTAGTCTGGCTGGTTAGAAATGGAGACATGTTTAGAGTTGTGGTCAGACTTCAATCGCTGTTAGAAAGATCTGGAAGAGTCTGGAAGGTTTCTTGACTGACAGGAGATGTTTTAGAATTACTGTAGTTACTGTACACACAAAAAACAGCCATTCCTTTTGCTTGACCCGGCTTAGATTATCGTTTGCTTAACACTGCTTTCCCAACCCCCATCGTTTGCAGGCAAAACCTACATCTTGCCCTTTGCCAGCACATCATCTTCGGGTGCGGAATTGGTTTTGCAACCCCATATGCCATATGCCTGTTGACATTCTGGAACTAACTTGCGCCCACGAGGGGTGACAAAAGCTTAGAAGCAGGGTGCAAACTGGCGCGTGCATTTTTTCATGAAGCGACGCTGGCCTCCCGAAGACCCTCCTGCCGTGGGGTCTGGCCCGCAAAACACGGCCAATTTTTTCCATTTTGGGAGGTTTCCCCTCCCCCACAGCTGGACTCAGACGAAAGCTTGGGGAAGCTTTCGTAACTTTGGATGAAACAAACAGATAAACAGGCTCGCGGGCCCCGCGGGCATCCCGCTGAACTACTAAGGCAAGAAAAGAGGCCAGCATGGCGGCTGCACCATACAGAACGCAACGGCTGGGCAAGAGCCTGTAAGAAGGCTGCAAGGGCATGACTGATTTCAGGGGAGTAAAAAAATACGCAACCTGCCTGGCGCAGCCTTTCTTCTAAGCTGACCCTTGCGTTGAAGCCCAAGAGCGGCCAAAACCTCCACGATGCGCCTTTGCACTGCTTCTTTGTCTTCAATCCCGCTGATCTCGCACACGAGCTTTCTGCAGCCGTACGCGAGATTGGAAAGGAGGCGAGGCCGTAGCAACTTTTTGATGTCGTTGGAGAGCAGCCACGCAAGCCATGCGCAGGAAGGAACGAGGGCAAAGTCTTCATCTGGCGTTGGAGTGCATCCTCGCAGAGCTTGTTAACTCTACGTACAGAGCAGCGCCCTGCCGCGTGGTGACAAATATCTCCTGCTGGATTTTCGGTTTGCATGGTCAGCATTTGGATTCTTATCGATTTGGGCCGCTAGTGGCTTTCGCCTTCTCTAGGCGTTCACGTTTTGGAGAAGGTTTATGTACTTGCCAAAACGTGTGGATGGTCCAGCGACGGCAACTCGTCTTGTTCCTGACGGCTGTTTCGGGTTTGACTACTTGCTCCTGAAGGTTTGGTTTGGTTGGCTGTTTCCTGGTGGTCTTCTATGGTTGAGGCATGGCCACTTGTACAGCTTGTGGATCGTTGCGGTCTTACAGGTGATCTTGTTTACAGCTATCCTTATCCTGGGCTTCCTGCTTTTGCACGTCTTATGTGGCTACCTGGCTACTGCTTGGTGGGCTTCACTCGGTGGCATTGAGGTGGTCATGTACAGGTCCGTCTGTGTCTGTGTGCTCTCGTTGGGTTAGGTTGCGGGGGCCTTGGCTTGCCCTTCTTGGCTGGTGGCTTGGTGACTTTGCTCTGGCGAGTCCTCGAAAGGCGGATGCCTTCAGTTCTTTGCCCGAATTGGTGACGTCCTTCTGGTTGTCGACTTCTTCCTGCATGGTTTCTTCTTACGGGTGCGTGAGAAACCGGTTGTGCACACCCTCAACAACATAATCATCATCATCATCATCATCGTCGTCATCATCATCACCTCCTCTGCGAGCTTGCGACTGCGTACTCTTTTGTTTCTTCTTGATTGGTGGGCTCGGCCGCTGCCGAAACGTCTCCGGTGCAACTGGCGCAGGCGGCGTAACCGGCATAAGTGGTGCGGGTGGCGTTAGTGGATGTAAGTGGGTGGCATATTATGCGGCGCAATTGGTGAAAGCGGCATAGGCAGCGTATGCTGTGCAAGCAGTAAAACTGGTGTAGAATAGTGTTGATAATTGCAATCTTTGTGCCGCATTTGCGGCGTAAGAAGCCAACCTCAAGCCACGCTTTACACCAACATACCAAAATCCGAGCCGTCAGTCAATCCTAAAGGTTAGCTTTTGACTCACACTTTCGCAGCGACCTGCTTCCTGTCTCTCTAGACGTTCCCAGTATGAGCAGAGACTCTCGACTCTGGATTTGAATTCACGCAGGTGTTGTCAGCAGCGAGTCAGTAGCTGCACAAGACTTGGCCTTGAATTGACCCTGAATCCTAAAGCATCAGTGCAGCTGTGTAAGGAGTGTGCAAGGTAGGATAGTAGTCTGCCGGTGTATGAACAGGATGCGGTGTAGGTATCTGCGGGATACCTGTGTACAATTGCATTACCTGGGAAAGTGGTGTACGAGAGGGAAAATGGTGCATCCGTGGGTCCAAGCACAATCGAATTTTGAGCACAACATGCAGCGGACGCCTGCTTCAACAATGCCATGATCTGCTGCTCACTTCCCGGAGCCTACCATCTGGACCGGTAGGCGCCAGTGAGAGCTTCTGGTCTGCTACAGCTACAAAGCTTTCGAGTGGCCTCGGGATCAAATGCCTGAGCTCCAACTCCTTCTGCAGGATCCTGCAACAGTTTGACAGCAGTTGAGTGCTGTCTGGCCAAAGTAGGGTGTGGCTGGATTTGGGCTGCACCTCGTCCTCTTCGACCTCGTCCTCCTCCTCCTCCTCCTCATTCTCCTCCTTCAGCCAATTCCAAGATAGCTGACATCATCAAAAAAGGATACCTTCACAATGCAGTAGCATTCGCATGGCCTCATCAACAGCACCTTCCTCTTTGAGTGCTAGGATGGCAGTCTGCTGAGTGGAGATCACCTGACACGGAAAAAGGCAAGAGACTGTGCAGATCGCATCTTGGAGCGCTGCTCAATGGCAGAATGGGTAAGAATGGCTTTAGATACATGCTCTCGGAGCCGTCCACGGTAGACCCTGATGCTTTTGCGTTTGGTAGCGCTTCTCAGTAGCAACATGCCGGCACGTGCATCTCTTGAGATGTCAGAATTGACTGCACAAGAAGGCGAGTAGCGCAGGATCTGAAACAATGAAGCGAGATCTTCAAAACCGCGAACGCACCAGATCGAGACTGCATGACAAGAAGAAGATCTTCACTTCGTGCTATTGAATCGCCATCCGCCACTGTGGCAGGCCACTCTCCTAAGCAAACCGCTACGGCCGACATGAGCGGGAGACCCTTGCGATGCTGCAGCCAATGCGCATTCGTGTCTCGAGGAATCGACTCGCTCTTACGCTAATTAGCGCACACACACACACACACAGAGGTTAGCACCTGCCATCCAGTAAAATGGCCTACACAAAGACAAGTCCAAGTTCTTGGTACCGTACTTCCAGTAAATCGGCTTTCAACACAATATGTCCAATTCAAGCCCCTGGGCCATCAGGTTCCAAGGGAATCCAAGGGAGGCCTTGCGCTGCTGCCCACACATGTCCTGGCGTACCGGATACTTTCATCCAGAGAACCTCTCCAAGAAGCAGCAAGAGCTGCAAGTCGATCTTGGGAGATCCAGGCAGGATGGAGACGATGCTAATGTTCGCACTCAGGTACACCTAAACGGTGGGATGCCTCTGCACAAAACACGACTAGCCAGTAGGTCCTGCAAGGCATCCAACATTTGCATGGCTCCATCCAAGCGCCTTGGATTGCAACTTGACGCCGCTCTTGCTTGCCACTAGCCGGTCGCGAATTCATGCAGCCCCAACTCGGTGAATCCTACTCAGGGCCCCCGCTTCAAGAGCTTCTTCATCTGCTTCTCACGACGCTCGCTGATGGCCTGTTGCCACTCGTAGCAGGAGTGACTAATTTGACTTTCCCACATGCATGGAAGGCGTACGAAATCAGAGTCTTTGCTTCAAAGCCAGGTTGGTTCCGCCTGTCTGATCCTACATACCTACTAACCTACTTGCGCCTGCAAATCCAGCTGCTACATCTCCCTACGCAGCTTTGGCGTGCACTGCCTCGAGGCCCGCGATTCGCTGCTGAAGTTTCTGACCTAAACTTTGTTGGGGCCACGCGTCCCAAGTGCCGATGGGCAACTGCGAGTCGGAATGAATGTTAGCAGGAGAACAAGTCAGAGGGGGCGTGCCGGACTGAGCATGGCGTAGTCAGAGCGCGAGAAGTGTGATTGCTGAACATACACTTTCTGTCCGTGTCAGCAGGCAAAGGGGTTGTCATGGCTTGGTATTCTTCTGTCACCAAGAGCCCACACTCTTCGCCCGGAGTAGAACACATTCTTCCTGCCAGGAAACTGGCGTTGAAGGAAAGAGCATCCTCCGGAATTAGACAGAACAAATTGGCCTCGACTTCTGAGGATGCCTTTGCAGATTGGAAAAGGACATACTGCCACCGTCTGACAACATCAGATAACGAGTTCGCTGCGTGAGACCTAGCAGAAGTCAATGCAGAGGCGGGTTGCCTTACGAATGCCACCGTGGGAAGGTAGCGCGCTGAAGAACAGAGAGAAGTCCACGCCATCTGAATGCACAGATTGGTATCGGCCTTTGCGAACCTGTTGGACTGTGTCGCTCACCTGTCACCCAAGATCACCCAAGGTACTGCAAGTGTTTCCGACGGATAGAACTGTACTGAATTCGTGCTGAAGCAACCCCTGGACAAAGTTGTGGGAGCAGACCTTCCTAGCGGAGATGTCATATGGTTGCCTGAGAGCTGATGGGTGCAGGGCTGGGGGAAGCCGCGATAGCCAGTAATAGTTATGAAAACCATCCGAAAGGCCGCCTTTGTCCTCCGGGTCCGGCTGCTCCTCCACATGCTGAGAATCGATGTGCTATAGGCAGCCAGGCGAGTCTTTTGACTCGCCCACGGCTGCTCTGGCAATGTCCTCGGCTCCTCTCAGCACAGTCTGGAGGGCCTGGCTTCAGTCAGGAGTGCCAGCCAAAGAGTCACCGAGGGCACGAACTGGGCTTGGCGTGCAAAATTGTGAACATTTGTGGACCACCCGCCTGCATCCACATGCTGATTTCCGTGGTGTCATCTATGTGTAAATCAACCTTGTGACGACACAGTCAAGAAATCAGGCAACAACACCATTGCTTGTTACAAATGTTGGCTTGAACCCATGAACTGCTCATCAGCAGACTTTCGTGCTGTTTAGGCCTACAGTGAGAGGTTTTGAACACACCAAACTGCCTTCTCGACTCCTAACAAGGAGCTAAACTCAGCAGCCAGCTATGAGGTGAGGTGGCTGTCCAGCTCTGGCCTTTGAGAGAATGGACACCTGCATATCGAGATGATGTTCCTTTTGAGGGCTTGCTGGGAGTTTTGAGTGCAAGCAATAAGGATTCTAAGAGGCCCCTAGAGCACTAAGCAAAGCTGTCTGGCGGATTTTCTACAGCCTGGCCTTTTCCTCGTCAGACACCACACGGCCTGCAAAGTGACAAAACTGTGACGCAGCGGTATACGCTGATTTGCAACAAGACCTGCTTTGCGAAGATCCAGACTCTTCCGCTCGCCTTGCGTGCTGCAACCATCTCGATGACAGTCACTGTGATTCGTACAATGTTTCGACTTCTTCCTCTTCAAGGGTGGTTTCTTGCTCCTCCTTCGAATTCCCTGACAAGCAAGATTGACAGACGTGACCTGCTATACTTGGTCCGGCTGTGAGAAAGCAGTCGTGCTAGAAGCATTTGTGAACAGCAGCACCTGAGAAATGACCAATGGAGGCATTTTTGGGCGATGCCTTTAAGTGTTCTAATTCTAATTCTTATCACTTCTTCCTGTGTCATAAAATGTGTTCGTGCTTCGCGGCTTAACAAATTGACTGAGACATCCGAGCGCTCCACCCAGACGCATCTGGCCAGTTTCCAGTGAAGCCTCACAATTGCTGGTCCCGTGTCTCTACCAACTTCACCTTCTTCCATTTCTTTGCGTGCTTCTGTTCTTCTTAGGCAAGAATTTGGAAGCAAGCTGGGGAGCTGCTCGGTCAGTTTCGCAGCCTTGGGCTTGATCCTGAACACTTGTCGGCTTGCATCGTGAGATTGAATCCGGGTTGAAGCTATTTGAATTCACGCTCTTTAGCAATGTTTGAACCAAGTTTGGGTAACGGCTGGTGCTGCTGGCGCCGCTGCTGTTTTTGCTGGCACGGCTGCTCCCTCTTGCTGCCAGCGCCGCCGCCGCCGCCGTCGTCGTCGTCGTCATCATCATCGTGGTCGTGGTCGTGGCTGTGGTTGTTGTTGTTGTTGTTGTCGTCTGGAGCACCTTCTCGCAGCCACATCAATGGAAATCTGAGGTTGGAATTATGGGCCCCTAGTATGAGCCCTTCATCTTGGAGTCTTTCTACACCGGTTATGTACCCTTTACAGCCCTAGAAGCCCAAATAAGGGCCCATAGCAAGGACCCAGGAAACAGGTAAGCTCCCACCTTAGGGGTGCATGGTTAGGACCCCAGAAGAAAGCCAAGCACTGCGACCTGTGACTACATCATGACTACAGGAACAGCATGCACAGCCAAAGAGTCGCACCGTTTGCAAGAACAGCATGGGAACTCCAACGCGGAAGCCTCAGATCATGGAGTCTGCACTGCAGGACAAATAGCAAATCAAACGGCAGCCTTGGCTACACTGTGCCAGATAGCCTGAGGCATCTGCTCACCTGGCACACCTTGGAAAAGGCAAGAACAAATTCTCTGGGACGTTGCAGGTGCAACTCGCAATGCTCAAGCGCGTGCCACAGTTTCACAACCACATGAAACATTTTTCTGGACTACCGTGCAAGGCCTTCGGATCTTGCTGCGGAAACGCCACCACCATGGCCTCTGCAGAAATCCCAGTGACAGGTGCTCATGGTATTGGTCGATTTGTGAGCCAACGAGCATGCCTGCTCCAGGAGCCCACTTGACGACCTGCAAGGGAGGTGAGTTGAGCAAAAGCATTCTTACCTGTTGAATGCACCCCTCCTGCAACAACCCCAAAAAGCACTCGACCTGCACTTTACAATGATTCAGTAGACCCCTGAGCACACGAGGACCCACAGCCATGTCCCAAACGATGAAACAGCAATTCAAAGCTTCAGAGCCAAAAAGCCAGATGGAGGGAAGGAAGGGAGGGAGCGAGACGGAAAGAGAGGGATGGAGAGAGAGAGGTAGGTAGACAGAGAAAGATAGCTCTACAACCATGAGAAGCGGCAGAATGCCTTAGTACTGCGGGATCGCTTGCATCGCCAAAAACAAAACAGCCAATAGCTCGATAGCTCTGGGCTCAGTGCTCATCGGGAAACGACATCGGCTCCCAGGAGCGGCGTATCCTCCAAGCCCTGACCAAGCGTAGTCACTCAGGACACTGTGCAAAATAATGCAAAGTTCTTCACGGATGCGAACTGTTTCAGAACTCTTGGATGCTTGGTGGGACGGCCGTTCCAGAAGCAGTCTGGTCTTGCAAGACACGACTATCCAGCTGCCCGGTTGCCTCGCCAAATTGACGACAGATTGCCGTCAAATCAGATCATGGGCATGACTAAATATAGCATGTGCTCGTGCAATCTGTCAGAGACCTCTCAAGTTTGCATGCCAAAATACGACAGTGGACTGGCAGGTTTTTTGTAGCGGCTTTGATATTGGTCGAAGCTTTTTGGGGATTTATCCATCTTTGTCATGGCGTGGACCCTGAGACTCAACAGCCAGGGCACTGCGGCGGGTACTGCTCAACTGCACAATGGCTGTCTTGCAGCGCATGCAAGACTCAATCAATCTCAATCATGTGAGCATGTGTTTGTCCATGTCTATGTCAGCGCTGCCACGGCGACAGCGCTGGAGCGCCTGTCAACGCACAAGGCTTTCCAGGTGGCCCAAAGATGAAAAAAAAAAAAAAAGCCGTGCCTCTCCTGCATTGGTGGCAAAGCCAACCAGCAACCGGAGCCGGGGTCAAAGCACTCAGCAGTCCTGCGGGGCTTAGCTTCTGTCTCGAGCCTGATGGGTCTGGAATGGTCTGTCCTCAAGTCAGCATCGCCGTCAAAGCCTCCGCATACCTATCTCATGCGATGTTCGAAAGCTTCTTGCTTTACACACTTCCATGAATCAGTGAAGGTTCTGCCGCACAGTGGTCTCCCTCCTGCCCCTGAAAGAAACACCGGTCAGGGCGTCTCTCCACAGCCTCCCTTCCCAAGTCTGACGCCATTGATAATGGATGCATTGGCGTAAACTGATCAGTTTGCAAGGTGGCGACCTCTCCCGGTTGCTTGGGTGAAGCTTGCCGGCTACATCAAGTTGCCTGTGCACCCGGGGAATGCAAACCATATTTCAAATCTATGCCAGAGCTTATGGATAACTCTCTCAAACGGTTGTCAAGTCCATAATGCCGAGACTGCTGTGGCGTGCGGGAGAGCCAGTTGTTGTTGAAATGCCAAGTTAGCATGACTATCCTATATTCACACCGAATGAAATTGGAATTACAGAGCAAACTGACTTCATGGGTAACAAGCCTGATAGTCTTCCAGCAAAAGCTGGGATCGTGCCTCAATCCCCGGCTTGCCCTCTCCGGTCGAGGGCAACGTCTATGCCAGGCTGCTTCCCATTCACAAGAACCAGCAAAGGCGAAAGATGGGCAAGCATAAAATGGACAGAACAGCTGGACCTCAGCACATTGCCACCATCATTCACATCATCATCTGCAGACTTCACCCTTGAGTGCCAAGAATTGCAAAAGCGCACCCTTCGGCGATACTTCAAATGTTGTAGCACACGTTGCCTGTCCAATCTGCACGCTCAGTGCCGTGAACAGCTGCTTTTTTAAAACTTCAGATCGCAAGTGCACACAGATAACAAGCCGCATGGCTCCAATCAATACATGTGTACTCGTCCTTGATGGGAGAATTTCAACTGCCACTCAATGGCTCCTTCATTTGATTTGCAGAAGGCCGTTGACAATCATTAGGTTTTCCCTGAGTTGGTGCGCGGAGGCATCGCATCTTTGACGCTATCTGCGTGTCGTGCAGAACATGCTGTCGTTGTTAGCTGACGCTCTTTTTTTTCCCGAGCACTTCAAGACTTTTAGCGAATGCAGTCATGGCAAATGTGAATAAGAGAGATGCAGCGTAACTTTCATGAAAAAGCTGCTCCCCAAGACTTAGCGGTTTTCAACTTGTGGCAATGCCGAAAGTCTGTCAGCGGCCCCTGAAGATGCGCACATAGAGTCGGCCGGCGATGGTTGCGATGGCGGCTCGATCCCTCCTTCAAGTATAAAGTGACACATGACTCCAGCAGCTTGCTTACCGCTCATGCCCACCTTTCGCTCATTGCCGGCAGAGCTTCCCAAGCCTCGAGCTGCTGGGGTCAGCTCAAACTAAGTGCGCGGAGTGTGCATGGGTCTGGCGAGGGAGCCTTCAAAGCAAATCTGCAACTGACGACGTGCTTTGAAGCTCTGCTGTTTGCAAGGGTGCCCTGCCAGGCGTTGTCATGGTGTTGAAGCGGTTTTTGTGTCCGGCTAGGCTGCTAGGCTTCGCCCGCTGCAAGCGCCCGGGAAGCGCTGCCATGGCCGCTCCAAGAAGCAAAGTAAAACCGGAATACCAGCGCAGCAGCTAAGGTGGGCTTTGCTCCAATCAGGCTCCTAACTTTAACCGCGGCAGCCTTAACTGCCTTAACTGAACTGCTGCAATCTGCTGCAGTTGTTTGCGTTGTTTGCTGCAGGTGTTTGCTGAGTCACAACCTGAGGCCAAGGACAGCAGCAGCCGGGTTGTACCGCTCGGCGGAGTCGAGGCGCCTGGCCACAAGTCTTTCGCGAAAAGAACAAGTCTTTCACAGTAACCGGGTGGATGTGTGACGATGTGTGTATATATATATATAGTTCTGTATCTCTGATTCTCTGCGTCTCTTCGTTTCTTCTGCTCTGCTCTGAGGAGCCGTCTGACGTCCATCCCAGCCGCCACACACGTAGAAGCAGCCGGCCACAGAGGCAGCCTCTCAACGCAAACTCAGAGCAACGAGCACCCAAGAAGCGAGAGTGTACTGTGCTAAGGAAGCAGCGGCAGCACCAACGCGGCGCGACAACATCCGCGGCAGCGCCTTGCAGAGTTTTGTATCCTCTGTGCTTTTGACAAGTTTGAGCCAAACAATTGAGGAAAACATCTTTCCCCCATTGTCTAGGGATAAAAAAAAATCTGTTCCTCAATTATTTAGAGTCTGGAAGCATGGTGGCCCCGCCTCCCAGACTGCAGACCTTGGATCGTAGCCTGAAGACACTCGAGTCTCATCGCACGGCTCCGCTTGTTCTTCTGAGGCCCAGACACTCCACTGAGCTTACGACCCGTGCATCATCCTGGCAATTTACATCACAGCTTCAGCTTAACTAGGTGGACTCAGTCTATCCTCGCTACCGAACACGTACAGCTTGCCGCATATGACTTCAGCAGCACCTGCAAGAGTCTGCCAAGACACCAGGCTTGTGGAAGCTTGCAGTGTCAAGCTTGTCTAGCTCAAGCCCTCTCTCTGCTCTCTTCCTGCGAAGCGCCAAGTTTTTCCAGAGCGGCAGGCAGCTAAGAACGCGACTGACCACACGTCTCGCCAGCATTGGTGGCAGCATGTCCCACCTTTTCTCCTGCAAAACACTCGTGGTGGCATGTCCAGACTCTCCTAGGTGTCTTCTCTCTCAAATTTCAGCAAATCCAAAATCTTTGCCATTAGCTTGAGCAAAGGTAATTAAGAAGCTCCAAAGACAACCCAACCTCTCTCAGAATCTCGCACAAGGAAGACAAGGGCAACACTTGGCATCTTTAAGCAATCACTTGAGATCACATGGCCTGCGGATCGTAGCTTTCTGCAAAGTTCAGCTGACCCGCACCTTGTGGAAGCTTGAGCGGCTTTGTTGCAAGGGATGAAAGATCTTCAGCGCGGCACCATCAAAGCCACCACAAATGTAAAGCTTGGCTGCCATGACAACCTCAAACGATTGAGGCAGCCGGTCAAGAAACCGGACGAAGAGTGGGGACATGTGGGGACAACTGAGCCAAGCTGAGCAGACTGCGGCAATTGCCCGTCGGCGGCGCACCTGCATCTGCGGAAGGCCTTGGACTCTGGTACAGGACACAAAATACTAATGCATCATACTTATGCAGCTAAGCAATCAAAGAAACAAGTTCACTGCGTTTGGGCCACCCGACAACACCAGCAGCCCGTAGAAGGGTCAAAGCACTCCACAGAGCTCAAGCTGCCATTGGGAGGTACGCTTCATGACAAAAACGAAGCAGATTGCAGGCATCTGAGATCTGAGATCTCCAGTCCAGTGGCCTTTCTGCGCCGTCGAAGCCGCCAGATACGTAGAGCTTGCCGCAGAGAGTGGCCACTGCAGGGTGGCTCCGCCTGGCCAAATGGACAGCGCGGCATATCGCTGTGCTTCGCTGCGCTTTGCTGCGCAGTGTGAACCTCTCCAGCATTGGCGGCAGCTGCTCCCAACAACCAGCAGCAATGTTGTAGCCTGACCAGGGCCGATCAGGGCAGACCGGACATCGTATTGACATGCGGCAGCTTGGAACAATGCCGGTGAAGTGTCTTGATCTGAGCCCGCTGCGCTCAACTTGGCTCAGGCGATGCCTCAGCTCAAGGGAGTCCTCCTCACCCTCCCTCAGAGTCCCGCCGCATCCCCCGCGTCATCTTACATGCCTTGCGGGCCTGGTGAGTTCCTCAACTGGAATGGGTGGCAAACGATGCTACTGCAGTGCAGGCACTCACCATCCCAACCACCGCAGACGTAGAGCTTCCCGCCAACAACATCTGCTGCCACCTCAGAGGCTTGTGCTCCCCGCTTTGCACAAGCACGTCTCGCGGAAGCTCCATCCAGAGATTTATGGAGTGACAAGACGTGGACAACTGCGCGCCGATCCGACATTGGAGGCAACGGCTCCCAGCAATCGCCAAAGGGCGCCTGGACTTGCTGAGGACAACGTGCGACTACGACTACTCGTGCTGCGGCGACAAACTTCTATCAGAGAACAAAGTACGCATCCTGGGTGTCTTCTGGGCAAACCTATCAGAAAGGTACTGTAATCAGGCTGGCAAGCAGCTAGTTGTTTCCAACCAGGCTTGGGGCTGTCAGAATCCCGACTTCAAATTACTATGGAGCTTTGCCCTTCACGGGCTGCACATTCAGGGCCCAGGCCAGTCGCTCAATCGAGAGAAGCCGCCGTTGACCATCCTGTGTCTGCTCAAGCAAAACTACTCCATTGTTCGTGTTGCTGCGCTCGTCTAAGCCAATCCGAGCATTTTCAATCAAGCAACCTCCTAGTGCACTGACAATGCAAAGCATCATGAAAAGTGCCACCATCGCGTGCCACGGCAGGGAGCACATCTACAAACGCTTCTTCAGATGCTGAATGATGGCCTGACTTCACATTGCCTGTGACATCTTAGCATTGATCAGCCCAGTGTGTTCCGAGGTGTCAATCATCCTAAACTCTTGTAATACTGCTTCAGAAGTCGTGGGCACAATGCAGAGTGCAGCCACTAAGTGCGTCCTAGTGCTGTTACGGCAAAGCGGTCTGCAATTCAATATGACAGCAGTGAAAACATAACAGCTGCATATTGTCGGCATCTTTAAGTTCTACAGGTCTTATAATGCAGCATCGCTGGGCTGCGGGCGTAGCCACCGTGGACGTATATGTGCCCAGGGTACAAGGCTCTCAAAGCAGGCAACCTGACATCTCCGCGCATGTCGGGTAGTTCCAATCATACTTCCATACTTGCTGGGGCAACAGCACTTTCTTCACGGGCCGGCCAGCTGCCTGGACAAGCAATTGACCGAAACTAGCCAGCAATCGCCAAAACAACAAGAATCATCACAGCAATCACAATAGCAGTCAAGATGATGGCAGTGAAGCAACAGCAACACCTCTGATTGTTATGAGCGCCAACGATCATGGACCCCAGCCCCACGAATGAAAACTTCGAAATCATGGGCGGCACGATGTTTTTTAGTTCATAGGAAATTGCAATGTGATGGTTCAAATATGTTGCCCAAACTGCGTGTTAGATGTTATGCCTAGATGCGCAAGTACGAGATACTGATACTTCTGTATGCCACATGCGCGACAACATGCAGTGCTCACATGCCAAGTATGTGTGAAGAGTTCAAGCAGCGTGTGTAGGATTATCCAGGTATGAACCTACAACACAGCGATACATGTAGTATCTTGTTCATCTGTGGGTCTTTATAACCCTATTTCAATCCTTATGACACACGACACCCTCCGCGAACCTCTTCCGCGAATCCTTTCTGTGGCCCAGAACGTCCTTCAATTTTGGATCTCTCACACATCCTCTCACACATCCTAGATTCCGCGAACCTTCCGCGAACCTTTTGGCTTCCGCAAAGTAGTTTTCTTCTTGGTGGTGCTTTTGCATGCAGAAGCTGTGCCCTGTATGCTCTGTATTCTGGTTTAGCAGAAGCTTCCGCGAGCCTTCCGCGAAGCCATCCCCTTCCGCGACCTTCCATGACCACAGTGCCGCGCACGTTTTGGTGATCCACCTCAAATCTTGTGTCGCCGACCGGGTATAAGTCAGTATAAGCAGTACAGAAAGCAAGAACCTCATCTGAAGGACATCTTGCGTTCGAAGAACTGCATGCTAGCACATGTCGTGCTATGGACCAGGTATGAATTCAAGTGCATTCTTACGTGTTACATTGCCGCAGGTCTGATCTCATCGTGTCGCATACTAGCTTGTATGAGTTTAAGCTGAATAATTGCACTGTGTGCCGTTCAACACGCAGAGTAACGCCTGGCAAGGATTCTAATGGCAATTTCGAATTATCAAGCAGACATGTTCTACTACATCCATTAACGCTTGCCCAGGGCTGACAAGCGAACTTTATCCACAGGGACACCGTGCGCAGTCAGACCGCTCTGTGGCCCTTTCCCACGCCACTGCTGCTCTACCCCACAACCCTACGACAACCATGACAGCCAGGTAAGCGGAATAGCAGAAAGGCGAACAGTGGGGAAGGGATAAAACACAAGATTGGACATGTATACAATCAGAAAGCAACAAGCAAACCAACAAGTGGAGTCAAGGCGGAGCAAATAAACGAAACAAGCCGAAACGGACAGTATAAAAATGATAAAGCCGGCGCCGAAACATTCCAGCGGAAAAGAACTGGGGGAACAAAAACGACAGCAGCCGTTTGAAAGCAAAGTCAACAGAAGTCCCACAGGAGGACATTGGCATCAAGCTGGCAGCAGCTGCGAGGGAACCAGACATGATTCATCTGCTCCCCAACAGAAGCCATGATTCCAAACCCAGCCCAGCGGCCCTTTTCGGAACAACAGCAGCTAAGCAGCAGAGCAACCGACAGCTGCAACTTGCGGATATCTTCTCTGAGGAGGAGAGCGACGAGCACGACGAATGCAGGACGAATGCCAGAAGAGGCTCCGAAGAACACCTACAAACCCGCAAGAACAATCCAAGGGGCCAAGGGGCCACAGCACAGCAGCTCCTGTTGAGGCTCTCTACTCCCTGCATCTCCCTGCCTTGCTGCAAGCAGACAGCGCAAGTACCTGTACAGACTTTTCTCGTGCCAGCCGAGAACTAAGAACAAACGGGCAGCGTCCTCGACGGCACCGCTGTAAACACCGACGCCGAGTGCAAGGCCATCACTTGTCAGAACGTCCACCTTGGCAACGAAACGGCGGCATGCGCAACTGTGAGAGCAAAATGAACCATATTCCAGATTGGGGCTGCAGCAACATGCACCCGCGTCTCTAACGGGTGAGCTGCGCATGTGGCCTCAAAGCGCCGTCGGTGAAGCTTGGCAAGGAACCGGGCCTCAGAATGACAGTAGCACACATGCACACGCATGTGCATGAATTCCGCTGATAGATTTCCTCCCTACGGCTTGTCACCCCAGCCCCAGACCAGACTCTGCCAGGCTCTCCCGCTTGCAACATATCCCTTTCTGCAATGGCAACGCCTCCCATCGCAACCTTTTTATCCTCTTTTTTTGCTTTGAAGCTCTGCTTTTGGCCCTCTCGGCAGCCAAGCCTGCAAAGCTTCATCACAATGGGCATCTCAATTCCAAATTACAGGGCTCGTTTTTTGCATGTTTGCAGGTTGCATTGGCTTTTGTCTCAGGGCTGAGCAGGCGCCTCCAAGGTCTCCAGGATCCCGCCATGGAACGATCCAGAGGCATGATCGCGTGCCGTATCAAGACACCAGCGACTCATGAGACTGTCATCCAACTCCATGAACCAGCCTCAAGAAATGCTGAAAAACAACCTCGCGGACAGCACCTAAAACAGGCGACCCTCCTGTCGCTGCTGACAACTAGAATGTGCGTGCGGGCTTGGCTATGAGTGACTTCGGCGCTTGTCCTGGAGAGCATGGCCACCTATGCCACTGTCACAGGCACTCAGCCAGCAGCCAGCTGATTCACCCTGCTGATGTCTGACAGCTCTCTCCCACTCACTCGCCAAACTAGCTTGCTGGAGCATAAGCCTGGAGACTTCTCGCAGCAGCACTGTGTAAGACCCACGCACATGCAGTACTTTGGCTTCATTGGAAGGATCAAGCCGTTGTCGTCCACAGCTGCAGCTGCGTCTCGAAGCTCCTCTACCAAGCTCCCCGAATCTGAGATGTTTACAACAAGATGTCGTTGCGAACAGCTCCCAGTGTTTCTGCAAAGCAGAGAGTCTGTCTTGCCAGTCTCAACTCACGCTACATGCCACAACATGTGCATCGGGTGCATTGACATCTTTTCATCCTGTTGCGCGGCTGGTCAGCGTGAAGAGAGCCGAGTCGAGTCATTCATGATTCACTTGATTTCACTTTGTGTCAGCGAAGGATGAGTTGATGCTGTTGATGCTGCCGAATCCAAAAAGTCTTTGAAGGCCTTGTCTCGGTCTGCGTCGTCAGTTGCATCGAGCAGTTCCTCACATGAAGTGGTCAGCAAAACGGGCATCGGTGCATGTGACAAACACGCGGCCTTGTTCAAATCCAACACGTCTGCAACGGAGACCTCATCGTGTTCTAAGAGTGCCCCGATCGTGGAGACGTTGCAACTCACCTAGCACAAGGTCTTCGAACTGGCAACTGGCAGGCAGAGTTGGAGATGGTGGAGGTCAAAGGTGACTCTAGCAAAGAAAAATCCTGCCTCCAGCTCTGAGTCCAACAAATAACCGTTGCTTGGGCATTCATCCACCTGATCCGAGATCTGCGCGGAGATTTTGACCGGTCCATCTCTGATTGCCTGGTCAAGAAGGTACATCTAGCCCTGCTTTGGTAAAGATACCAGTGCCACTGTTTTGCCAGTCCTGCGTGATATCCAAGTCTTCCAGGGCATGGTACCGCATTTCCTGGCTCACAACGGCTCGCAGCAGTCGCAAAATGTACGTGTCTATACAGATATATATGATATGTGTGTGTGTATTTATGGTAATATATTTAGATTTCTGCGCACGTGTGAGTCACATGAGCCTTCTGCGAGAGGGGTTTGCCGCTGTAGGCGCTGCGGCATGGGTTCTGTCCAGGTTTAGCTTTGGAAAGCACCTTGTGCCAAAGCAACGCTGCAAGCGCAACGCAGTGAGATCTAGCACGGTCAAAGAAGAGCATGATCATACTATGACTTATGAAGAGAGCATCACATCTTTGCAAAGCCTTTCACACGTCTGCGCACAGCATGCTACAGGCTGCATGTCACTTCGTGTCATCCTGACCTCTTTGCCAGCCACATTCACACTGAAGAGTTCCTGCGCACCATCCAGGTTGTCGAAGTCTGTCTGGTTCAGCCACAGTTGTGCCACGCACCTGAAGAAGCAAGTGCAATTCAGGAGATGCTCAGTGCCCAGTGGCCGCTACACAGCTGGCCTGTTGATTTGCACCAGCGTCCGGTTGAAGTTCAATACCTGAATTGGAACAATTTGGATTCGCACAAAAATATCCTGTCTGCCCATCGGGGACTCCTGCGCATGTATTGGGGTTTCTCTCATGATTTGTGCGTACTTTTCCTTGCATATCAGCCATGCTCGCTTCGAAGCAATGCCTACATACGTGGCAAACCTCTTGCGCCTTTGCAACCAGAAGGCCAATGAAGTGGAGCAACCCTTCTCAGCACAGCGAAGATGTCCTTGCGTAGCAAGGTTGGTTGGTCGGTGGAAAGGGAAATAGGGCCGCGCTCCACTGCTAGCACCGCTTGCAGCACTCGCACTTCTGGCAGTGGCAGCGCTGCCTAGCTGTGTCTCCACATGGCCCGTGGGCGAGCCATAGTAAGCCACCACACCAAGACTCTTGGGCTCTGCGGATTGGCTGGTGTTGTACTTGTAGAAAGAATCGTAGCCTGGCATGTCCTCAACGCTTTTGCCTGGATGTTCTGCTAGCCACCTCTTGACAAAATCTAAGTCTTCAAGCGATGTAGCCCCAGCCGCACCAGATGCCCTTGCGTGACTGACAAACCAATTGGACGTTGTGGAGCTAGAAGTTGTGGTGGTAGTCGTTGTAGTCGTGAGGTCAGCGAGCTTACCAACATGGCACTGTATAGTAGAAACTCCATGCAGGAGATTGCCGTTGTAGGGGCACTCATCCACATTTCCAGGAATTTCCGCATCGACTCGGAGATTACCCTTGCTGCTAATGACGGTGTCCACCGGCAGGTCTGAAATGCACGAATACATCAACTCGCGAGAAGCTTTCGATACACATCCATTCACAAGAGGATAACAATCCCCGCCCATGGCACGCCCGTTGGCCAAGAAGTTTGCAACTCGCTCGCCAGCAAAGTTGTCGTCAAAATCCGTGGCATGGACTGACAAGCTAAGGTTGCAGTTCTGCACATACTCCTGTGCACAAGCTCTGCATGACTCAGCTTGATAAGCTTCCATTATACTGCATATCTCTCATACATGGACTGTCATGGACTGAACCCCTGCATTGCATCCCTGTCCAACTCGGGATCGTAGAGCTGCAAAGTTACGTTGGCTGCACAGCCAGGACGTGAGCAGGTGAGATTACCCATGACAGTTCGGGTATGTAGGCCAGGTTTTGTCAGCTCTGTTGGCGGCGTTGTCGCAAGGACCACCTGGAAGTAGCAGTCTCTACCAAATTTGAGTAGCTTTTCGAACTAAATGAAGTTACGTCATAACATATGTTGAACATACTGGGCCCCCCCAAAGAGACGATGATCTTGCGTACTCTATATTGGGACGACGTATCGGATCCCTATGCGCCAGGAGACAGAATGCATGGGCTTCAGCTCCTCTGTTTCGCTCGCCTTCTTGGACACCTCGTGGCAAGGAGGGCTTGGAGGGTGTCGCATGAGACATGTTGTTGCCGCCTTTTCTTGGTTGCAACTGCTCTTGAATTCAGCCCCCTACAGTTAAGGACATGCACACGCGGCGCGAATTTCCAGTGAGGAGGCTCGTACCTGCCTGCGAACTTCCAAAATGGCCGACGGCTGACGTAGCTGTTGCTCGTCTCAGCTTACAGAGGCCCTTGCTCTCTTGAAGGTCAAGCCATTGCCTTTCTCGGAATTTGCCCACCAGACAGCCAATATAGCTACGCGTACTGGTTGAATTATGCTGGACCCAGAGGGTGCTTCGCACAGGCGCTAGGGTCGGCTGCTTAGAAGAGCTGGAGAGGTCAAGATTCACCGCAGAATGCCGCTGGAGTTCCTCGATTGAAGGTCCGCAATAGCATGCATGTCCTGTAAGTCTCCTCCCCTTATGGTGGCATATGCAACGCAGAATTCATCGTATGGCTCGGGCCTGGCTGTCACATTAACTCTTGAATTTTCCGTTTTCTCCACTTTACTTCACTTGTGCATTGGCGCTGAGGCCCCAAGCAGTTTTCAATGATGAGATCGAGCCTTCACGATTTCCGTTTTCTCATAGGGTTTGATCACGTGAAAAGGCTTGCTTTGTTCCTGGCGGCTGCCGGAAGATGTTCCAGACTCGATGGACAAAGCTACTTTCATAAGGCTCAAACACAAAGGTCGCCTGCGAATGGCTCAACGGAACGTTCAAATCTCAGCTTCTCAGATTCTCGCCTTGAGGGTCGCCAGGCTTGCCACCGCCTTCTCTACTGCCTTCTCTTCCTCTTCAGCGCTGAGAGCTTGCTGCCTCTGTCGCAGACGATGCGGATGCTCTGCCTCCGTGACCTGCACAGGGCTGACTTCTCGATTTACGAAATCAGCCATTCCCACTAAGTCAGCAGCATTGAGCATACGGATTTCGTGGTATGCTGACACGTCAGCTGCTGACACCAATCGAAATCCACATTATGCACTACCTTTATGAGCGGTCTTGCTGGGCCAGGAGCCTTACGTACCAATCACAAAAGGTTTTGTATCTCAAAGTCCTCCTTGCCCCGTGTACAACATGCAGCTGTTGCGCGTGCTACATGACCACCTCACTTCCGACTCCACGGACTTACTAGTGATCACAGTCAGACACTTGATACTTCAAATTTCAGACCAAGACGCCAAATGCCGACCGAGTGTTTGCGATCTGGAGCCAACACAATTTTGCCAGCTAGGGGAAGCGTGGTGTGGACATGTTGCCCCCCATTCACAAGCAAGAGTGGCAAGGCAACTATGGCAGATCACCCGCGGTGGAGCATCACATCTCACCAACTTTAGCAAGGGGAGCAAAGAATTCCCACCGGCAACGGCAAGACACGGAGGCCCTTGAGAAACGGCTGATGACCCTTCTTGGAAGCCAACTCCTCACACCAAGACACCAGATGTGATCTGGCCTGCCCAAACATCCGCCCGACCCTTGCGCAACTTTCGGCACCTATCTACACTGCCGTGCATCATGACACCAAGTTAGGCATTTTTGGGGGTCAAAGATCATGCTCTCAAGGCGTTGGAAGCCTGAAATTACTTATTGGCATGCAGGGTGTTGGAGTCTGGACCCTCATATACCTTCAATAAGTGCAGCTCGCCTCCGGCTCCTGCGCTTCTAAAGCATGGAACCAGGCCGCATCGTGGGGATTCGCAGAGGCCTGCTGTGTCCTGAAGGGCTACATGACGCTATGTGCTTCACTGAAGTGTCAGTTTCAGAAAGAAACCAATTCAAGCCATTTTTGCTGCACGGCACCTTCGGAGCTGGCCCTCCACTTGCAGAAAGGATTGGGCCTCTGCCCGCAGCAATAGCAACAGGAAAGCCCAGGCCATGAAGGTTTCTATCACCTGTCAGGCAAACATGAGCGACCTTCAGGCGCTGCTAGCAATGCCGTCCCTGCTCATAGCCCTCTGCATCCCATTGTATCCCTCGCATTGCACTGCACTTGCAGCAGGCACTTCAGCCCTTCTTTACAAGGCAAACAACCTTTTGCACCAGACGACCTGCCTGGGGCAAGGTTCAATACCAAATTAGAAGATACATAGCATCCCGCTTCATAGAGCCGAAACTCTGGCTGCATGTTTGCAGAAGAGCAAGATCTGCAAGTTCCGCAGGTGGCACTACACCAAGCTGCGCGGAGCTCCTTCTGTTTGGAAAGGGTCTGCCGCAACTCCAAGCATGCGGCGGCAGCAGAATCTCTGTCACGATGACCTTCAAACAGGCCTGGATGCCTGATGCTTCTACCTATGCTATAAACCACTGCATGTCTGAAACTTGCGGCCAGGAACCCCACAAGCGCTCCGAGAGCTGAGGACAAGCAAGGGCTCTGTCTGATGTGCCACTGCGCTCGAGAGAGAAGGCACCTAAGCGGCTGCCGGCTGTTCGTAGAACAGGCTGTGTGTTTCCAAAGCTTTGCTGCCGCCAGGGATCGCTTCAGAGCTTCCTCCGACATGCGCCACGGCTCTGGCAAAGGCGACATCGGCAAGACGTAGAAGTCCGAGAAGTCCATGAAGTGCGTGCACGCAGCATCGGCCTCTGGCCACAGTTTCCAGCGTAAACCCTGAACTTCAGACCTTCAGTCCCCTGGCTAAGTGCCAAGGGCAGGCCACGGGCAGGCCTGCAGATTCCACGTTCCGCTCTGATCGCACAGGAGCACCTCACACAAAGTCAGTCGAAAGCCGTGTTACTCCCTGCCGCTGCTTTCAATTGAAAGTTCTCAAAAATGTCTCCTTTGAATCCTTAACAGGGATCCCCAGAGCCCCACTGATGATCCCTTTTTTGTCCCCAGAGTGCCTAAGGCACTTCGCTTTTGGGAAACTCCTGACTTAAATATGGGGGCGAAGCGTTCAAGTAAGAATGCGATGCTGGACATGCAACCGGACTTCTCAACAACTGGCCCAAAGCCTTGTTGCCCTGCCTTGCCCAATGTGAAGAGGAAAGCACACAATTGGGCAACCTTTAATCAGGCTCCAGGGGTCCTGAAAACACCAGCTAAACCTGCAACAACAGGAGGCCGGTCTTAGCCGACCGGCTACTTAACCAGGCTTTGCTGCATCACAAAATCCCTGGAAGACATTGATAATTGCACTCAGTAACCACAACGGCAAACATGCAGAGAGCACCAGGACCTTGTAATAATTATGTTGAAGGCAGGGGAAAACAAATTCTTGAGCTTCAACTCAGAGTAGCACTGGAAAGCTCAGGAAGTCCTAACCTTACAGCCCTTCAGGGCGTGTCAGCTTGAGCAGCAGTGCAAAGGACAAAAAATCCAACACTGTTTGGTGACTTCTACTTTAGCAACTCAAAAGGCTCTTTCCAGGCCGTCATGGCTTTCACATTCACATTACTTGGCCACAACGACCACTGCCACCATCATCGCCAGCACTGACACCAACAGCTACCACCATGGCCGTTGCGAGAGCTACTCCGTACTGCTGCCAAGCTAACGATGTGTAGCTCACCATTGCTATTGTATCGCTGTTGTTGGCCGTAAGACTGATGCAAATACTCTACAGTACTATGTAGAGTTACATGTATACACATATATAGAGCGAGCGAGCGAGCGAGCGACAGAGAGAGAGAGAGATGTATATGTACATACACACTTGCTATCGCTAGGAGTCGGACAAGATCTAAGTACAGTACTGCCATTGTCATTCACGCTCACTGATTGTAGCCTTGCGGAAAAAGTCGGCTAGTGCCGCGACGTGTGCCAGGATCTCAAGAGAACATCACCGTATGTCAGCATGTAACCGGTTTTACCCATTAAACCGCTAGCTAACTCTTTTGCTAACTTTAGAACATGGATCTGGAAATCCTGTATGATGCTATCCATGCACATGCTGCAACCAGCTGGCGTGCCACCAGACTTGCAAAACATATGCTGACACCCAGAAGTCATGTCTTGACCCTTCCTCCAGCAATACTAAAACCCCTTAGGCTCCCTTTATGGTATCCAGGTCTTTGGGAATGCGGCAGCATTGCGCCTCATCTGCAGATGCGTCCTGGCCATGGAAGACTGCTCGCGGCTCGAATTCAGCAGAGACACCCCAGCCTCGGCTGCTTGCAAGCACAGTCACTCTCAGTCAAAGACAGCAAACAGCCTTTCAAAGCTCCAGCCTGCTGTCTACAACTTTGCCTGACTGTTGCCTGATGGCCCGCATGGTATTGCTCCACGTCAAGAAGCTGCTTTGCAGGCAAGACAGAACGCGTCAAACAAGAGCTGTTGCCAGCACCGAACATGAGGCTGTTGCGGCATGTTGCTGTGGAGGATGCGGCGCATCTCACGTCCAAAGCCCACTGAGTGCACTGCATCAGGGCAGACACCTACAGGGCACGACTGAAACTTCCCCCTTGCCATGCCTGATGACCTCACGAAAAACCTGTCTTCCAGGATTGTAGCGGGGGCCAAAGCGTTCACGAGCAAGGCTACTGTGGCGCTGCCATGAGACGCAAATGATGGAACAAAATGGTCGAGGCCTAGACCTTTTCCATTCAAGAATGTCTCGGCCTGAGAAGTTCATGCCATCGTAGGCATCAAAAAGTCGCGACTGCCTTTGTCTCACCTAGGAATTCGCATGTTGGGTTGATACACTAGCTGGCTGCAGGCAGGCAGTCTCGAGGGGTTCAAGCCATGTGACATGAGAAAAGTTTGGGAAAGTGGCAAGAAGAACGCAGCTTTCTCCGGTCCATCCAGTTGCAGGATTGATGCCAGAGTAAACCAAGCCAGTGTCAAGAATTGCATAGTATGGGACCGTTCCCATGACCTGAGGGAACTCACAATCCCAGCACGCTTGACTAGGAGGCCACTCACGCCGTTCTGAGCTACAGACGTCACTGAGACCTTCCAGGTCAAGAAGACGCTGCACCAGGCGCTGAAACGCCATTTCCCTGTCAATGTGCTAATGTCTCAGTATCGCAGATTATGACGGCAGCAAGCGGAGCTGAGACTACGAAGCAAGGTGCGACTTCAGATTGCCATTTAGCTGGTACATGCTGGAACGTAACAAGGAATTCCGAAGCCTTCCGCTTTACACAGCCTCCTGGGTTTGGTGACATGTGGGGGTTATCCAAAATGCTCGCATGACAGAATGACCTCTTCGCAGAAATCCAGAACTGACCCTTGCAAAAAGCCCATTTAAGGAACTACATCTTACGGTACTACTTTCGCGCAATCCAAAATTGCTTTTGCAAACACCATCGCGAACTTTCGCGGAAGGCCTTCTAAGCCAGCCTGCAGTCGCTCTAAAAAAAATATACGCGGAGTTTTCGGAAAACCCCCGTGTATGAAAGTACAAGCAAGGGCCTCAAGGCATCTGCGAGGCCAAGCAAACCCGTCACCTTCTCAGAGGAGATGTCCGCCTTGACATGAGTACCTTACGCCAGTATGCCAGTTCAGCACATCAACAAAAACTCTGGGCCAAAAGCATCTGATGACTCGTGTTTGGTTACCGCCAAACTTCGCTTAGCTCAGTAGGGTTTGCTCAAGGTCTGTCAAGTCGCTTTACTCAATTCGTTGCAAAAGCTGTCTCAGATGCAGATAAGACGCCAACACCTTTCACATCCAACATGTTCGCCCGAAAGTTGCCCAACTCGTCGATGCCTTGTTCACTATGCCGACCAGGGTGCGGAAGCTGAAATGACTATCACAATTTGCCACTTTATGCTGACGAACAGAGCCAACTGCATTTGAACAATTCACAGGTGTCTGATCTCGTCTTGGCGCAACTTCATCTTGGCGTCTGGCGATACTGATCGCTGACAATGAAGGTAGCTGCGCGACCACCACTTTTCGCCTACACACATGAAAACTTGCTTGCAAGCGTCGGTTATTCGATAGTCTGTCAAAATAATCCTTTAGCACCAAAGGACCCCCATGATCCCCTCACAATCCCTGTATACTCCTGGATTCCTGAAGCGCCCTCCCCACCCCCCATTTTGGCCACATGCGTGCACATGCTTCCAGAATCGTTGAAGGAGGCTGCTAAGGACGGGTCTCGAATGCCGCTGCGCGAGCCAGCCAGAAGTGACCCTGAAGGCACTGCCACAGCCCCAACATGGAGTTTCTCGAAGTGAGGGGCTCTGGGACCCTAGAAACATATTGGTGTTGTAGCTCCCAACTCCCAGCAATACAAACATGAAGAGGCTGTGCAGGTGCGGCGACCTCCGGAAGTGATGAGGTGGTGGTGGTCTCCACCCTCTGCCAGACGTTGAGCCTGGCCTTCGGAGAGCCAAGCTGCCTCCTCACTTAGCTCTGGTTAGCAAGGAATGAAGGAACGTATCTGTAGAATAGCCCATACATTTTTCATCCACAAATGTATTGATTGGCTGCCATGTTCTTTTCCCTCCCTCCATTCCCTGCTAGCCAGAAGTAAGATCAAAACTCAGTAAAAAAACACATATTTGGTTGACCTGCCTTAAAGCCTGTGCTCAGCAATGAACACTGCATCTCCTGCACGAGCCATTTGTCCACTTCGCTGTTTGATCTGCCTTGCCCAAGAGTTGCATTTGGAAGCCACATCCGTTCACTTTGCATTGTCAATTTGGTGAGCGACTGCACAAACATTCAACGATTGATGCAGCTGATTTTCGTGCAACATGGTGCTGCCAACAGTTGTCTCAGGAAGAAACCGAAGGCCATCGCCCTACTAGCAACAAGGAGTGGGTAGCAGAGCATGCATGAGCGATCTGGGGTGCACAGCCCAAGTCAGTCAAGATGATCTTTATAAGTAAGCACTTCCAATGGAGAATTTTGGACCTTTGCCGGGCCTTGCAATTCTGGAAAATGGCACCGGAGCAACGGGTAGTCGGCAGCCAGGACTTTGGCAGCAAGAGGACAGAAACCATCCTCCAGACAATCGAAGTCATTCATGGCCTTGGCAGGTTTTTGAAGATCCGTACGTTGTAGCTAGACGAACGATTGTCTTCCCAGGACAACACATGCTTGGCGACTAGCCACGTTGCGTTGCCAGCCGCGTTTTCGAGCTTGAAGTCCGGTGAGGGCCTCGGAATTGGCCGCCAGAAGTAGCCGTGGCCTAGCCAGTCCTAGGCTGCGTTCAACATGATCTTGGGAGTTTAAGAAGAGGTGCCCTTGGAACCCTAGGGATATGTATAATTCATGAAGGTGGTCAAGATTAGGAGTTATAGTGGCTGTTTTGAGAAACTCCCACTTGCTAGACTGTCAGACTGCTAGCCGCTAGGCTGGATCTGATGTAACGAGGTCGGGCTGCGCACAAAGAGTGCCACTCAGGCTTGCAGCTTGTGAGGCGCAGAGAGATTCAACAAGCTACCATTGCCGATGGCTTGATAAGACTTTCAAGCTCGATTCTGCTTCATTGCCCTAGAGTCTGGAGCTGTCAGGCCAAGGAGAGACATTGAAGGAGTTACCTTGCTCCACCCTCCCTGCTCATGCTCAGTTTTCTGAACAGGCCTTGCAAGCGAGCATCGGCACCTCTGTCATGCTGACCAAAGGCCCACCAGCAGAGCGACTCCTAGCACTCCGGGCAGACATACATGAAGAGCTTTATCCATAACATTCCATGATGCACGCGGCCACGTTGAATTCAAGCAGGAGCTTGTAAGATTACTTGTTCCGACCCGTTCCTCCACAAACTCGCAGGGAGTTGCAGGAGGCAGCCTCAAGCTCATCACATGTCAAAACAACTTGCAAGTATGGACTTGTGAACGACTACGATGATGACCCCTGTCAACGCGGTCAAGGCTTAGTGGGCGGAGGCGTCGTTGTGGTTTGGCTTCCAGATGCATGCTAGAGAGGAGGCTTGGACTCGTCGTGCACGTGGTTGTAAAGCTGGTGGCGTTAGGAGGTGTGAGTTGGCTTTGCCAAGTTCTGCCCAAAAAGAGATTCAGCCATGGTTGTCCCGCCACAGACGACATCTTCTTGCTTTTTAGTTGCAGTGGCGCACCTAGCTTCCTGGCCAGGGCCGACAAATCCTTCCTGGCGATCAGGAAGACTCTCTCAACATGTCGTGACTTCTGCGTTGCTCTTGTGCCTGGGCCAGTCTGCCTTATCGCGAATCGCCAGGCGCACTGCCGAGTTGTACCTGAAGAAACTGGAACTTGCTCATGACATTTCGGCCATTGCCGAAGGTGCAGCCTTGCTACCATGACAGCACTGCATGAATGGAAGCGCTGGCATCTCTGAGGTCTTCAGCTGACACTGCACACCTGGGGCCGGGCAGGAACAGCTCACGCAGAGCAACAAGGTATCGGCAGCAACCATGGTGAGTTCACAACCTGCCTGTATGCTTCCGTGGCCTCCAGCAGCAAGGATGCTGCCTCAGAAGCCTTTCTGCCGGGCAAACCAGCCAGGACACTGCAGCGTTCCGCCTATGAGGCAGATTCAGCAAAGGTCAAAGGCCCGCGAAGCTGCGTTGAGATCCAGCAAGCTCACAGCATTCAATTGGAATTGTGTTGTCTAGGAGAATCTAGCTAGACAACAGAACCAAGGACAGTGCGCCGTTACAGTTGCACTTCAACCAGCTGCAAATATGCCATGAACGAAGGTGGCTTCACATATGATGTTGTTCGTTTGGATGGGTTGCTAGACCATGTTGGAAGCCTCCTCGTAAATGGTCTGACGTGCCCGCCAAACCGCCCGGGCCATGATGAGGAGCTCCTTGCACAAAGAAGCTCAGAATTGCTGAAAGCATGCACTGTTTCGAGCAATCCAAGTCTGTTGATTTCTGAATCTCCACTTCTGGAGCCTAGAGAAGCAGGACCAGGAAGCAATCAGGCGCATTTAGGCGCTCTACCCACAGAATGTAAAAAGCCTGCAGCTGGCTTCGTGGTTGTACAGCCGAGGAAGGCCAGCAACTGGCCAGCTGTGGTCTCTTGCGATAAGCAATTAACGGCTCGCACTTCCAGCAGGACACCTGAAGCAAAACCAGTGCAGACCTGCACTTTGCAGAACCTTGTACACTGTGTTGGTGGACGAGAATCATGAGTGATGATGAGTGGCTGGGGGTTTGTAAGTAGCAGGCGTGAGATATACGCAGCAAGCAATGTCTGATCCCAGTTCGTACATATCAGGACCCTGCTGTGTACAGGAGCTACGTGTACGCTTTGTGGACGCTGTTCAAGACCACCTAGGGCAGCAGGTAAGGAAAAGAAGCAAATCGCAATGAATGTTTTGGCTGTAATTGCCATCTCCTCCGCTTCTGCACCGCTTCGGAACTGCGATGGCCAAGCGTATACATCACCCTGGCATGGCTTCAAAATACGCAATCGCTTCAATGTAAAAATCCCCTCTTTCCTCACGATGAGCACCTGAACCCCTCTTAACCTCCTTCCTGCAATTCGTCCTTAGTATCCCCCTACATAGCCTTTTCAAACTGTAGGCTTGCAGGATTTTAGGCCTCCAGCTTCATGATGTACTTTGTGGGGATTCTTCATAGGCAAAGTGATTTGCCTGCTACTGTATCTTCAGTCTGTGCTTACTCGGCCTCACTCTCCAGTGGAGGCAAAGGTTTTCCTGGAGCCACGGCTGCGAGGATTTCATGGCGCATTTGCAAGATGGCTCTGGCAAGGCTACGCCGCTACGCTGCAACTGCAGGGTTTGAGGCCAGGCGTTGCAGCGGACAAGCTTTTATGTCTCCTAGCTCAACATCATGATGTTGAGGTGATCTCGCACTTGACATGGAATAGCTCACTCTCCAATTTCCTTCTGATGCATCCGGGAAGCAGGCGATGCTGAGTGCACCAACCTGTCAGTTTGCTATGAGGATACTAACTCGGAGCCCAACTCTGCCAGCCATGAAGAGGCACAAAACCATGACCAAAGAAGCCTCCGTCAGGTATTCTCGCAGGGCTGTGGCCTCCTCGCGGCAGCAGGCCACCTCCACTCTCCAAACAAAAAACTGCATGCATCAGGATGCATCAGGGTTCGGAGGTTCGGAGGCTCACGAGGTGCTTCCAGCAGCCAGGCGGAGGTTGGTGCCTTAAATGGACTCACCGTCTGCTTGCTTTTGCCAAGCTTGGACAGCTTCCAGGCCGCTCGCTGGTGTCTGATATGACATGACAAGACAGGGGCTGCTGTTCCCTCCCGAGCAATCTCTTCCAGCTACCAGCAAGGGATGAGAAATGGGCCGAGGCTCATGATTTGCCTCGGCATGCTCGAAATTGAACTTCTGCGAACCCCAAGAAACACAACAATCCAAGAAAGGCATCCGAAGTCCTTGGCAGCTCTGCCCGAATCTATTGCAAGAAGCGGCCGCCTCACGCTGAAGCATGTCCAACCTGTCTCAGGAGATGGGGCTCTTTATCTGACCCAGTCAGTCCTTCATGATCCTGCCACGGTTTCAGTCGAATTTTCTAAAACCTCTACACTCAGCTGTTTAAACGTTTGGGGGCATCTGAGGCGACTCTTCAGCGAGCTTCATCCTGAGAGAACCTCTGGAGGACGGAGCCTTGATGAGCCTTGCAGCTTTGTTCTCAGGCTCTTGCTTTTGAGCGTGTGTGACTCAACTTGGGTGCGCTGGGTCGAGTTGTTGTGCATCTTTGCCTCATCCTTTGAGGATAGGTTTCTTGCTCCGATGTGGCTGCGCTTGCCTTTTTGGCCATGGAAATAAGTATGCTGCCAATCAGCGCCATGAATGCAGAAATGAGCGAAATACAGAAAGCCCGGAGAGGCTCTCCATCGGGGAACCTTTGTCTTCCGAGCGATGAAGGCGTCTCAACCAGGCACTACTCGAGAAAACCACTGAACAACAATAATGCTGGAAAGTCTCCAAACATCTTCAAACTGCACAGCTTCTGCTCCGTGACATGGATCTGGCCTTTGATGCAGTGTGCAGACCTCCATGCGCTGGGCCGATCCAGAATTAAACCTCACAGTCTCACAGTCCAAGTCCAGCCAACTCGCATGAGCTGCAACTGTAAGGCACGGAAACTTGACCGCCAACGGGCACTCACCCATGCCATGCAGCTGGAGCATGCTGCAAGTAAGGCGCGTGCTGTCTAGAATCTGAGGCATCCTCCGCTCCAGCACCCATCTCGCATCGTTTCTTTGAAGATACAAAGCTTGTGCCTGCCTAGAATGATCTAGAATGGCAGCTTGTGAGGACAATGCGTTGTCATGACGCGGTGGCTTCAGAAAGACTACTTGTAGTTGCCCGTGGGTCCACTTTGAAATCCTGACCTCGCACTTGTCATGTCAGAGTCTATTTCATACAACGCATGAAGCACCATCAACAGAACTTCTTCCAAAGCACAGTGATTGCAAGATTGCAATGACTTGTCGTGGAGCTCCATGTGGCTTGCTATGAGCTGAGAGATATGAGTGCATCAATTGAAAGTCTCCAGACTCCAAGCTTTCTTGGGATGCAGGCAGGATATACCGACATACTGATTCATACTCACGCCTACAAGTACAAGGTACAGTAAAGTGCTCAGCGTCCCGCCAGCAGTTCTTTTGCAGCCGCTTTGAGGCTGATCTTTGGGAGATGCAAATTCGCGGTCTGAGGCAAGGCCAAGAGATGCCAGTTTCCTCAGCCCTTGGTGACATCAAACTTTCCATCTCACAAGCGGAGATTTCCCGTCTTGACAGCTTCAAGAATTTGATGGCAATCTTTTCGGATCTCTCCAGTCTCATGCAGCAGGCAGACCTGAATCAAGGACAAGTGTTTGACGACGAACGACAACAAGCCATCAAGTGCCTATCATGCTATGTGCATCGTGCGTCTGAGCCACAATGTCCAGAGACTTTGCATTGCCTCGAACTTTTGGAATGCCTTCGCACAGCTCCTCCATCCAAGGAAAGGTCACAGCTTCAAGGGCATGCTTCGTGCCAAGATGCGCGCAGTCTGCAGTACTTCGCTGCAGGAGCTTTGGAATTGACAGCACCGAATCAAAACACGGCAAGTCAAATAAGATCGGAAAGAGATCAAAAAGTGTTGCACGAATTCTCACCCAACCAAGTTTCAGCCGATTTTGAGCTGGCTTTTGACCGCTTTATTTTGGGTTTGTTGATACCGCATGCCGGGAACTGGATTCCTTTCTTTTCTCGATGTTATTTTAATTTCATGTTGATTTTCTTGATGTTACCTAGACGCTGTTTTGCTTTTGATCAGGGTAGCGTGCAGAATCAGAAGCCAGATCGCACAAACGTGGCTACTTTTCCAAGACCTCTGCACAACACCTGCTCACGAACATAGCTGAGCTGAGAACGTGCAAAGCGCCAAAAGGTGTTGCAAGTCCTGGATGGAAAGCAAACCATCCCCATCATCAAGAATGTGGAAAAGCAGCTTTGCATCGTGGACGTCAATCTCCAGCGTGCTAAGGTACTGTACAATCTCCTCACGTGCACATCATCCAGTGTCTTGGTTCTACAGTGTTTAGGTCTCTGACGAGTCTGGGACAGCACGAATCTCTCGTGACAACATTCGAGAATACGGGCATCTTCTCGGATACGGATGTGCGGAGCCTGCTAACAAATTCTTGATTTCAAGGATCTTGGACCCCCTGATGAGTTAGGTTGGAAACACTACTGAGTATCCGTTTGGCCTTCTCGACAATCCTCTCCAGGTGATATTCCAAAGGTTGGGACTCTGGCCAGGTGCTACTTTACAGTAGGAGAGGTTAATCAAGGGGTGAAGCTACCATGAGGGATTTCAAGAACCCACAACCTCCCCAACACCCTGCACCATGATGACTGTACTTGGGTCCTGACCGCAAGCAACTGGGCCAAGTATAGTTCACATGGGCACTCGAACTATAATATGAATACGAATTCAAATTTGAATGCGAAGAATCGCTTCCCCCTAGCATTAACCCCCCCAATACAAATTACAGGTTCCCCCGAATTTCAAATTCTGAAAACTGCACTCAAGACCACTCTTAAAAGGGGTAAGACTAAAGTTAATTACGGTTCGGATCCTCTGAATTAGGAGTCTAATGGGATCATAATTAGATGTCAACTCATGTTAAACAGATTCTAATTAGATTTCCGAAACAGAATGATCACCATGATCACCCAAGCAGGTCTCCGGATGGCTCAGCTGCTTCTCCCATTCAGCAAGGGTAAGAGTCTTGTCATTGTCAAGATCTGCATCTTCAAAAAGATGCGTGAGCTTTGCCTGCAGCAGCAGGGCTTCCAAAGCAACACACATGATTTGGCGCGAGCCCGCCTGCAGCTCTGCAGAAAGTTGAAGGCGCTCAAGGACGGCAGCTCCAGCATCATTGGAAAGAGCATGCAAAGTAGAGCGAACGAAGAGCCTCTGAGAAAGGAATAAGTCGCTGGTTCAAACTAAATATGAAAGGAAAGAAACGCTTGAAAGCTGTTGCGGAGGCTGAGTCAGGCCAAGCAGCGCTGTGATTAAGCGCAAGGCGGCGAACACCACAAGCACAATATAAATCAGGCATGGCAGGGCAAACAGGACACTCACGTCGTCCACCAATGGTCGTATCAGGACGGGCCAGCCACCGCTAAAGGTGATCTCAAAAAAACTATACATGGCGCGAGTGAAGCTTCCATAAGTTTTCAACAATGATTCCCGTACATCTCGGCTTTGCCGCGGGTCCACAATAAAATGATAGCATGCCTCGGACAAGATCAATGAAGCGATCATCATGCAAACCAATAGCATCACCATCGACCAGAAAAGAGCCGACAAGCTGGCCCGAAAGACGTCCACCATACCTTGGGCACCAATGTCTCGCGAAAAGCTTGTGACCGTGCAGTCGCAACCGTTGTTCACAACATGATCATAGCAAATCGTTCCTTCCTGTTCTTTCTCTTTCCACGCAGGAGAGACCCACCCGCAATGTCACCGCAGTATGTGCATTTGAATTCTTGAAGCCGTCTGTGGCATCCGACACGGTCACACTTCAGACATCCGATGGTGAAAGACAAGAAGACGAGCCCGACGAGCTGACATTGGCCATCTTGAAAGCTGAAGCCTCCCGAACCTCCCTCTATGAATAAACTCCTTACTCTGAGCCGAGACCAAAACCGATTCACAAAAACATTTCTACCAGACGCGCAATCCCTAGAACACTCTGACAACCCTTGGTGCACACAACAAGCAACACCGGGCCATGTCCACCAAAAAGTATTGCAACAAGGGATGCAAAGATGATGGCCCCTGACAGGATCCTGTGATGCATTTGCTGCTAAGAGGCTTCTCAGCTGGCTGAACAAGTGCATTACCTTGGACTATGACTATGGAACATGGCGCAAGGATTCTGGCCAAGCAGTTGACATGCAACCGAACCACCCGCACCAGTCGCATCGTTTTCACCTCCGCGCCAGATGTCACAACATGCAACAACGCTCTCAGTGAGGTGAATGCTGTCGCCATGATGCAAACTCTGAGTTGCTGACAACTTTTGTCACTCGGAAGAGGCGTACTAGCTGCGTACTGGAGTTGCGCTCTCCTCTTCATGCCAGTTGTAAGATTGACTTAGAAGCTGTAACTGTGGTTAAAGCGGCAACATACTGCGTGCAAGAAGAGCACCATTGGATTCCTACCTCCAAAAGCCTAGCAGACCTAGCAGTTCCATGGTCACTTGGCTCCTCCATGCTCCTCCCCACCCAGCTTCCCTCAGTTTTCCTCACAAACACCCACCTGATTTGCCGCCATGAGGGCCTTTAAATCTGGACAGAACAGGGAGTGCAGGCACAGCGCTAAAGATGTCCTCTGTAGCTGGCAATCACCACTGCATCCACCAGACCGAAGCCGACCAGCAGGACATCCTTTGCGGCTCCGCTGAAGCTCTTAAGACGTTTGTTTGAGACTCGGCTCAGAGCAACATTGAGCACTGCAAAGCCAGGAATCGAAGTAGTTGCCTGAGTGTCCACTCACTTCACATGATGCTACCTCCGCTCGTCGCTTCATGCTGCTGCGGAGCCCCACATGTAGCCCTCCTCTTCGGTGTAAAACCATCTCTTGCGCAGCACCCCAATTCGAAGTGCCATCTCGCAGATGTAGAAGACCAAAAAACAGTACTCGGAAATGTCAAATGCACTCTCGTAGTCTCTGTTGGGAGGCACGAAGGTTCCCGACGTGGCTTCCCGGTCAATGGCATGGCTGGCTCGCGACCCCTGTAGCTGCTGCTCCACAATCAGCACCTCACATCGTCTGGCAGGAAGATATACATGTGTTTGGATGATGCTTCTGTGTTGCAATACCTAATCTAGTTGAACAACTCCACCTGCTTGGGCACTTCCGCCTGCTGAAATTCTAGTCAACAAAAGGTTAAGCCTCTGGAGTGGGCATCGGCACAAGTACTTTCTGCGAGGAACCGCAGCATTGATCAGGATGACGACGCCAGCACAGAGATCCTCACTTGTGCAAAACTTACACATTCGTTACACCCTGTGAGCTCTGGATTTTGGGATGCCAGAGCTTGCCAAGGCCGTTAAAAACAGATTTGAGTCATCTCAGACCTGGGTGAGGCTTGCAGTTTGCAGCACATCCCTCAGCACCACGTTGGTGAAAAAGATCTGCAAGACAGAATGTGAGAGAAGCTGAGGTTTGCTGAGCTCAACCTTTCGGAACCGGTTGCGCATCCCCACGTCGGTCGCACCCTTCACTTGGCATGGGCCCAGTCTCCAAAGCAAAGACGCAGGCAGGGCCCAATGTGGTTCAACAGGCATTGTATTGGAGAATGTCAACAAACTTCCAGGCCGTCAAGCTGACAGCAATGCAGTCACAGTATTTTCTCATTCAGAGGAACTTTCTGAGGACAGCTCCAGGGGACCCTCCTCCACGAAGCTCTGCAACTTCTCCATCCGCGTAAATTGTCTCAGCAGCGGCTTCTTGTTGACCCGCGCCTGCATCATGCCACAGCCGCAGGAACGAGTGGCTGCGAAAGGCTCTGCTGTCACTTTAGCCCTCGCTTGTTCGGCTTCTATCCGTGCTGCGGTGCCAGATTCCACCAAGCTGGCCGCAAACAAGTGGCCTTTCTCCTAAGAGTCAAGATGTGCTTTTCACTTTTTGATGTGTAACTTTGAAGCTTTGAGGCTGCTTGGTATATAAAACAACTCAAGTTGACTTGCGACTTGTTTGGACATGGCAGATGAGGTCTCTGGATCCACTAGCAAATCAGACTCACCCCACGCCTGGATTCGTGATGCTATCCGCGACTTGGGGACATCACGATCTTGGGAGTCCTGGCATCACTACTAATGTTTAGATTGAATTCTGCAGAAAGTCGGTGCATTGAGTGTTTCTGATGAAGTCTGCTCATGTACCAGGAATCTGTCTGTGACGCAAGGGAGGCAGTGGAAAAAAGCGGCTCGAGCTTTCCTATTTACTCGAGGACCCTGGCTCCTTCGTGTGAGACACGACTGGCACTTTGCAATCCTCAGCCGCTACCGTCATCAAGTCCTCGCGTGCAGGTAGTAAGTCTTGCTTTGCCCACGCGAATCAGCAACAGCTCTGGATGCATCACACAGGTCCTGCAGCCTGTCTAGCTCCTTGCCAGAAAAAGCATGCTTCATGGGCTGCAGAATGCAATGAAGTGAGCACCGCACAGAAAATGATTAGACTCCCAATGGCATGTTTGAGGACTGCACTCTGTCATGGACAAGCCCGCACGGCCGCTGCAGACAGCCAGAAAAGATGCTCAACAGCAAAGCTGGCAATCGTACCATCCTGGGCCTTGCTCTTGTAGATTAAAGAGAACACGGAAAGAATCTAGGAAACAGCTGGGAGTTAAAGGATACTTCAATGTCAAGACAAAGTTAGCTCATATGCCATATGCCACCATCATTCAATTTCTCTCCCTCTTCGGTGGCCAGCAGCAAGTGCTGAAGCTGCTGAAGATGTTGGAAACAGTAACGGATTGGCTGTGACCTCACAGCGATTGTCCACGAGCTGTTTTCACCCCCGCCATGCAGCGACATGATCTCTGATGGATCACAGCGGAGGCATGGTCTCACCAGTGAACTGCACGTGTCCAAACATTCTGTTCTTAGGCAATGTTGTTCGAGCAGCTGGGCAAGTGAGGCCGCAGCTTCAAGCAAGGTGACGGCAGAACCACGCACACGACGCAGAGATTGCTGAAGAAAACAAGGAGAAGCCAAAGCCAAGAACCGTGGGAAGTTGTTGCACTGGCCGGCTCGACATCATCTCAGGAGGGTGTTCACCACAGAAATCTGGTGGCACCTGCATGGAGCACATTGGCGATGACCTCCTCCATCAAGCAGCTCCAGCAGCAAGACTCGGTTTCGAAGTGGCTTTCTTGTCTAGCTTCGCTCTGACTGGAAAAGGTCATGATGTGGAGGTGGATGAGGTGCTCCACGGCACCACCCCATGAAACACTTTTTAGGCAAAGTAGGCCTTCGGTTTGGAGTTTGGAGACGCCTGAGCACAACCCACATTCATGGCTACGAGTAGGATGGTTGACATGCGGATCGGAGCCAGGTGTTTGTTCCGTATTTTGTGGTTTAATTGTCCGATCTCTTTTGGTTTTCGCGCTTGGACAGGCTGTTAGGGCGCGCTGTCCCCACGGTTTCGGAAGGGTTCCGGTGTGTTTGTTCCGCAATTTTTGTTTCGGTGGTTGGAAAGATTGTTCGGGTATGCTTTTCGCAGAAGGCTTGAGGTTTAGAATTGCGGGTCTGGCTCGGAATTGCGGGAACATCATGACTGGATGACATGCTGCTCGGGAGAACTTGTTGAATTTTTGCTTGTTTGGGTGTCAGCTTTGCACGGCTTCAAAAAAAGTGGGATGGTTGTGGGGGGGGTGCAGCCCCCCCCCCCCAGTTGCAAACATAATGATTGCATGCAATGCTGCCTTAGTGAATTTTTGAAAGACACTCTTACTGCAATGATGGGACGAGTCTCTTTCGAAGTCAGCTTGTGCGGCTCAAATAACAGCAAGAAGGTTGGGGGGGGTGGAGCAACCCCCATTTGCACACATAATGATTGGATGACACCCGGCGGTTCGGGGTGGATCTGTACTGCCGTGATTTCAGGATGTAGGTCTTGCTTTCTTTCTTTCTCTTGTACTTTCTTCCTTCAATGTTCCTGTCTATGTCTTTCTCTTGTTCCTTCCTTCGCATATCTTAGTTCCTTGCTTGATTTTCTTCATCTTTCTGTCTTTCTTCCTTCCATTGACCTATATTCATTCATTTCTGCGTGTCGTTCTTTGTCTATGTCTTTGTCTTGTTCCGTCTGTCCTCCCTTCCATTCTTCTTTCTGTCGTCTTCATGTCTTTCGTGGTTCTTTCTTTCGTTGGTTCTGGATTGCTTTTCTTCTTGTTGTTGTTGCTTTTGCATTGCTTTGCTTTGGCGGCATTGTGCCGAAGCATAGGCCTAAATTAGGCCGCCCCTGCGGTCTGTCTTTTTGGGCCTAGTGAAACCCAAGGGTTTCTTGAAGTGGTTGAATCGCAACGCAGGGGTAGTACGTGATAACCATACGCACAAACAAAATGAGCTGCAACACCGGTTCCGCTCCACTTCAATGACTTCCCCTTCAGAACAAGGTCACAGCTATAGCAGTTACACATTCGTCATTGCCACAGCCCCCGTAGTACTGACTCCCCATCAGAGGTGGCATTATCTTTCTCCAAAAGGTAGCTAATAATTAGCAGAGATGAGACTGCCTAGACGCCTGCGTACTGCCAGAGAACAAGGGAGTTCTGTTTTTGCACGATTAAGACCTCCCCAGTAGTCGCTGGTTTTGATCATTTTAAAATGTGCGGTCTCAGTGGTAGCTGATTGCGTAAAGACCAAATTATTCGCAGAAGAGTACATTCTTTCGGAAAGGTCCTAAGAGACAGGTTCCCTTGTTTATCTTTCTCTCTTCTATGGGGTATGCAGAACCCTAAGGCCCTGCTGGGGCTAGGCCCCGACCAGGCGCACAGGTCCATGTGTCCACGATTCCCGGGAGGCCCAGGCCCGGTGTAGTGTACATTCCTACGGAACATCTTCCCAAAACACATTGAATCCGTTCTTCTTCTTCTAACGGCTATAGGGTGCCCTACGACACCCCCGGGGACACCCCCAAGCTGCACGCATCCGCACGCAGCGTGGTTCAGTCCGGTCGGACCCAGGAGGCGACATCTACCTTCCCAGAGAAGTGTGCCCCAATCCGTTCTTTCTTTCTTTCTCTGGCTCTTTCCTTTCTTCTGTTTCTTTCTTTCTCTTGTTATTGTGTTCTTTTCTTTTTCATTGATTTCGTTCTTCTCTTTCTTGCGTTCTCGTGCTACGCTCTTTCTTTATTTCATATGCATTGTTTTATTTCTTTATTCGTATCTTTCTTTCTTAGACGTCCTTTCTTCCTTTCTGGTTATGTCAGTTCTTGCTCGTTTTTGTTCGTTCTTGTCTTCTTCTTCTTCTTCTACTTCTACATGCCACTCGCGTCCTGGCAAACCAGGGGCGCGCTGGGGCTACGCCTCAGGCACGACTGCCCTGATGGTAGGTGGGATATTTTTTTCAAAGGACACGCCGTTTAACGCCTCCCCCACGCTCACTCTCCCCTTGTTTCTTTCTTTGTTTCTTTCTGGTTCTGTCAGTTCCTTATTTCCCTCGTTCTTTCTTTATTTCTGTTTCTGTCCGCTCTTTCTTTCTTTGTTCATTTCTTTCCTCTTTTCGAACCCACCCCATCAAAACCAGGAAAAGGAAAAATGACACAAAAAAAAAATACGGAAACAAAACAACCTACCCCGCGGAGCCATCTGCCCTAGTCAAATGCTGCCTTGTAGAAGTATCAACATGACGCATCTCATCAGCAGAGCACGCACCATGCCTGCGCAGCAGACTCATGATCTGCGGCTCCTTCAAGCTGATTTGCTTGTTGGCAGCTGCTGCCAGAGGATCACTGGCCTTGGAGTAGCATTTCAAGCCTGATGTGTGCTGACATTTAACAGAACAGCTGAAATGTCTTCTAAAGATGCCTATTGTTGCAAACTCTTGAGGTCGTGGGTTCCCTTTTGACGCATTGCCCAGCCTGCGCCTCATGCGCTCTGGGAGACAGAGATGGGGTGTGTCCTGCGAGAAAGGTCTCCGCAAGAACTCACAGCAAAAGATAGTATCCTTTCCATAGGGTCTTGCAGAGCATGTTCTTTCATGTTCACTTTCTGCTTGCATAAACAATGGTGCCCTACACTGGGCCATTGACATTGGCAAACACCATGTTCAATTTATGAGCCATTTTGACTGGCAGCTACAGCCTTGCGGACCGCTTTGCGACACCGCCTCTAAGAGCTGGCGGCTCTTGAGTTCCTAAAATGGAGACCCTCCAATCCCATTCGAAGCCCAGCGGAACTTCACCTGCGAGCTCTCCCCCTCCTGCTCGGACTTGTGGCGCATCACTGTCAAGTCCATCTGGCTGTGCACCAAATCTCTGCATATCAGACAATGTCACGGCGAGTCAAGGCATGCGAAAGATCCATTGTCGCACACGCAACAACTCAACATCTGGGGTAGCATGGGATAGCATGCGGCACATGCTTCACTAGTAGCTGCGCCATGTCTTACAGCAGACGCGCCGGCACGGGCTGGATGACCACGCAGACTGTCCAGGGTAGCCTCGACAGAACGTAACACAATGTAACACAGATTTCAAGTAAATATTCGATTAGGTCTAGTGTTTAGTGCCTCTTGCCTTGGCCCAGCAGGAATAGAGAAAGTTGAGGTGGTGAGTGCAGGCATTCTTTGAGGACTTTACCTGCTTTTTTGCCCCCAGTTACGTAGCTGGACCGCGTGGACTAGCTGCCGATGTTCCTTCAGAACTAGCAAGTTTATGGAACATGTTCTCCATGTTGCTCAGAAGCTCATGCTTTCCAGAACAACTTGTCAAGGAGTTAGCAAATGCACAATCTTGTCCATTGTCCTACGTACAGCAGAACAGCTGCCTGATGTTTCTGGAGCGCTCGCATCATCTGCGCATGATGCTCACGGAGCATCTCCTTCAGACTGTCAGCCTGGAGATCCTGAAAAGAAAGAACAAGAATCGCTGTGAATCAAATTCAATTCTCACTTGGCTTTGTCACCAACTTATTGGATTCCAACCTCAACCTGTCCATCAGGGCGACAGTGCAGGCACGACATTGGAAAGCTCTTTTGTAGTCTTGCAATGCATGTGTAGGCGCATGTCTAACACCATGATTGCTACGGCTGCTACCGCGACGGGCTCTCTCCAAGAATGCTAAGCAGTCGTATTGGAATCAAATGCTGCAGCGGCAGGGCATCCCTGTCGGATCCTGTGGGAGCAAAGGCCCGGGACGCGAGTCTGTCTGCCAAAGTCTCCGTATCCCATTTCTGTCAATGCGCTGGCGCATGGCGCATCACACCGCGGTTGCGGAGCTGTTGGTAGAAGACTTGCCTTTGGCAGGTCTTCTGTCTCCGAAGCGTGCAAATCCCCTACTTTTTAACTTTACCCTGCTGCGACACAAGATGACTAGGTCCTAGGCCATCCACTCACCGCCTTGACTCCTAGCTTAGCCCTGAATTCCGAATTTCAAAGTGACGCTTCTCGCCACTTACAGGGTTGAGGCACAAGCCCCACAGAGTCTGAGATCTGGCTGATGTCAAGTAAGAAGATATCTTGTTCATAACTTTGTCGCAACCTGACTCCACCCTGGTCGGATGCCATCCGTTGTGAATTGCATCACGCACACGACAAGCAGAGGCATGTCAAATACAAAGTAGAATTGCATCGTAGGCTGCTTTTCGCGAGGAAGACATGCTGTGTATATTGCGCTCTCCTCATTGGCTGCACACCAGCAGCTACAGGCTCAAGCGGGTACCGCTTCCAGCTGCGCAGCCTGGGCCAAGTCGCCAGGTTGCCTATTGCCTCCACTACGTGTTGTAATACCGAGTAAGCATGCGAGGCGTCATAGACAACAAGGGAATGGGCCAAAAAGAAACGTGTCGCCTGATAGTCTGATGTCGACAGTCTCGATCGGACCCAGCACCAGGTCTTGGACGCCATTTGCCCCTCGCCGGCATCTACATGAATGCTGCGATCGATCTAAACATAGTGGCTCCCATGGAGCCTTCGCCAGTTCGGCGGTCGACTATTGAGGCTTGGCCTGACAGGTCCATGTGACATTCAGCCTGTGAAATCCGGTTGATGATCTACCAGAATCAACAAAAACTTCTCCGAGCTTTCAGGGGTTCAGCTCCTTGCCTGCTTGCTCCTCGCAAGGAGCAGTAGGAACAGGAGCAACGCTGTCAAAGTCCTTGCTTCCTGCGGGGTGTTCAGTACGATTCCCAGGTGTCGGGTATTCAATGCGCATCAGAAGGAAATGTCTCACAAGTTCTCTGAAGGATCGACAAACCGTGTGAGGCAAAATAAAGTCGTATTGTCTGCATGGGTCTGCAAACCCTGTCTGCGAGCACTCTCACTGCTTCTCTGTGCAAATGATGGATACACCCGGACTACCTGCGCGACCTGCGCGCAGAGCGCATAGCATGCAGAGCCCAGCCTCTAACAATCCGCAGCGCAGAGGCGGCGCGCTCGCCTTCCAGGTAGCCAAGCCACGCCAGGCTACAACCGATGCCGTCTACCAGCCTTTGAAGCAACAAGACCACTTGACAGTGGAAACATCAAAAGCACGTGACAGCGTGAGGTAGTTCAGCTGCGCCGGTTCTAGATATGCTCAGCTGCACTTCATCACGACATCGGCATCCATGCCCCATAGGAAAAGGACGTATGAAGACGGACAAAGACTTGTACGCTAAAATTCGCTGACCGCTGCATACAACCTTTGCCGCAAAAACGCGGGCGTTCATTGGGTACAGATGCTGGATTTGAGCAGCATGCATGCTGCTCGGACAATGTTGAGATCTTCGAAGGAGCCAGAACATGCACGTGCTGCCTTGGGCTGCATGCTGCTGGAAGGATTTGGCACCTTGGCAATGCATATGATTGGACAAACTTTGCCTCCAGAATCTGCCATTTAGATTCGTCATCCAAGAAGTATTCCACAGACAGCTCTTAGATTCTTAGATACCTTCCAGATGACCATTCGTCCGGACCCCCCACTGTAAGAAAGTTCTAGAACAAGCGTCGAGGCGGTTAACCTCGGCCCCAAACAAACAAGATATTGCGCTACATATACTAGCTCACGAATAAGGGGCTCATTCAGCATCCTTCCAACAAATTCGATCTAGTCTGGCATCCAGTTCTGGAGACGTTGAAATACACATGTCATAGTGTTATCTGAGGCACGTGAATAGGTGAAACAACCATTGAATGCAAAAACAAATTTGCATGCACGTGCTGGGCAGCGTAGGCGCGGTATCTAGGCGTCATATTCGTGCCGCACTGATTCTCTTGCATAGCGCAGGGACAATGGAAAAAGGGTTGGCCCCTGTTGGCTGTGCGAGTTTTAGGAGGTATTGGCTGAGGCTTGGCCCCTATCGCTTTTCGCCAGAATTATACAATTTTGAATTTCATGGCAAAGACACATGTTGCCTCTTCCATAGATTTACTCCGACCTCATATCGCTGGGACATACTATTCGAAACCAAGTCGCACCGCAAAATTGGAAAGTGCTTGACACAACCTTGCGAAAACGTCGTAAGGTGCAGCTGGACGACTGACACGGCGCGCGAAGTCAAAGTCTGGGCTGTCGGAGCCAAGAACCTGGCAGAATCTCATCACTCACAGACTCACAAACCGATACCAAGTCCAAACCTTACTCTCAAACTTCGGAGTATGCTCAGGAGAAACAACCTTGGGCACAAACAAGAGCCTCTTTGGCCAGCAGGGTAATGCAACGAGAGATCTGTGTCACGTCGTACACAGCCAGTGCCTCAACCTAAGGCAGGTTCTGCGCAGATCATAAGATGAACATGCGCGTTACCAGAAAGACGAGCAGCGTGAGCTGCAAGCTCGGCAACGTCCGCCTCCAACAAATGCACTGCTGCACTTTCAACACCGGCTCCGGACCCCTTCGGCCGCTCATACACTTTTACGCTAGAAATTGCCCGTCCGATTTCCTGGACTGTATGACACTACGTGACATCCCAATGCTATAACAATGCGAAAAATGCCAACAAGTCCTCTGCCAGCTCAGCACTGAGGCCTCAGTATGGGAAGAGATTTAGACTCAGCGCATATTTTGAGTTCATGCGAGCCCAAGCCAAGCCACCCCGGACGCTATGACACGCTGCCATGGCCACGGAAGTGGCCCGCAGAGAGTGCAAAGCGCGTGCTTGCAAAACAGCTGAGGCCAAGACTCTGCAAAGCTTGTGCTACCTGAGCTTAACTCGCTTCAGAAGAACACAAAAACCGTAGGTGACCCGCACCGGATGCTTCTTGCATCCCAGCAACACGCTGAGCTTTGGGGATGGGGCCGAGGGTCAAAATCATCGGTTCCTGAACAAGCTCTCGGTGGTATCTGCACAAACAGCGGACAAGAGCAACGTGTCCTGGAAGCCCAGCGAGGTGAATATGAACGAGACGCCTGTGCTGACACCACAGGTCCCAGATAGCGCCTGTCTGTCTGGGATCCCCACCGATTGCACACAGAGTTAGGAGCACGGAGCCAAAAAGCAGCGCCATGATCAAGATGACGAAGGCGTCGCGGAAACCAAGCATCTCATCTTCCAGGGCAGTCGCTTTGACAGTGATGTGAACAAATCATGCAGCTTGCATCGATAAAGGGCATTCACTGGAATGCGAACCTGAAAGATCAGGGAGACACATCGCCGAGGATACCACAAGGAGCATGATGCATGAAGAGATCCAGCCTCAAGCAGTCGCGCACGGTCTAAAGCAACGCGACTGAAGAAAACATAAGTGTTTCGCTGGTCTAAGATGGCTAGAGTACGCAGGAACGTATCCTTAGCGCATGTCAAGAACAAGTAAGTTTGCATCTGTGGCTCTGGGGCCAAGGGTGATCCAGCAAGAGAAGTCTTTCAGTTTCTTGCCGAGGTCCACAGCGATGCCCCGCACAGCATGCCAGTGTAGCTTCAAAGGGTTTCTGAAGGAGATGCGAAGGACCGCAGCGATGCACCGTCCGCGGTAGGGGTGTTGCAGCCCACGGTGTGGGCGTTTCACAGACAAGTTCGGAGGGTTGCGCAGCGCGAGGAACTATACAGTAACAGAACACAATCAGCAAGCTACACGATTCGGGTACGCCGTACATCCTAGCAGCATTGAGCCCTTTGAACGCAAAATCAAGATCACAACTTCTGCTCCGCGACTTTTCTGTCCCGGGGTCCCAGAACGTCTAACGTTCAGGTTGTAAAATTGCGTGGCGTACCCCCCAGCCCAAGAATTGGAAGGATAAGGGGGAACTGCCGCGCAAAGCATTCGTTGATGTGTAAAATCGCGGAGCATGAGTCTCGACTCTAAATCGTGCTCGATGTTGCATGGTGGGGCTGATAACTGATAATCACCATGATGGCCAAGCAGCAGTCCAATGCATTGATCAGTGGAGGCTTCCACGGCCAGACCATGACTTGCGCAGCCATGAAAACCACCAGGATCACCGACATGGAGATAATCCTTGGGCTCGGAATCCTAGACTCTGCTGGGCATCAGCCGGCCTTGCAAGATTCAAATGTGCCTTGGGCTTCCAAGCGTCTGCACAGGCGGATAATCCGTGGCGAGGACGACAGGAAGGTTGAGCAGCGACCCGCGTACTAGCAGGGGAACCCCGTACCACCAGCCATCTAGACGGAAGCGGGCCAAGAGAAAGCGGAAGGCGCCGACCTTAGCTCAGCTCAAAGCAAAGCCGCTTGTCGTCCTTGTTTATCAGGCCGCAACTTTGTCAGAGTGGCCTTGGGAGCTCCAAAGCGGCACCTGCACCACTGCACGAAGCAAAGTCTGCCACTGGATAGAGCGAGAACTTCGGGCCTGGAGGGCTGCCCAAATGCAAAGGCCAAGGAAGCCAACAACGCCACCAGCTAGCAGACCGATTCCAGCACCCTCAGCTGCCAAACACGTATCCATGTAAGGAACATGGTCCCGATGCAGAAACACAGGTTTGGCGTGCCCTGAATAGAGACTGGGAGCAAGCATTGCGGAATGCTCTGTCGTACCGCAGAACCTTGGCTAGACTCAAGTATTAGTGCGGGGGTCGCTTCAGTCAGTCATCACGGACTGTTTCAAGCAAGGTGCACATCAGGGTACTTCAGTAGGCTGTGACGTCCGTTTGGATGGCCTTGCAGGCTTTGGCCATTCAGCGATTATGCAAGGGGCTTTGTGCGACAGAAGGGGTGGTTCACAGGGCTCGCACTGTAGCATGTCATTGGCACCATCGCGGTCACACTCATGGTGGTGTAGCCTAGATGTCTCGGCAGCGGTGAGTGACAAAATGTGTGGACATGCGCAAAATCTGATGATGGCACAATTCCTGACCGTGTACGAAACGAAGCCCAGCAACCGACTGACAAAAACTGTCCAATGAGGTTCAGCGATTTGGACGTCGCCCAACGCCACTTCTTGGGCAGCAGTTTAGACAGGGCAAGACCTTGGCACAGTCTGCACGTTCTGTCCTGCAAGCCAAATATCTGAACATTGCATGCTACGTCCACTTCTCAGAAGATAAAATGTCTGGCTTTCCGCCTATCTACTCACAAACGCAAGATGCCGAGGTGGCAACAAGGCATGACCTACTATAGCTCCTGTAGTTTGCAAGGCTCCCTTTTCAGGATCTCGCTGCGTGGAGTGGATAGCTTTAGAGAGCGAGCAGTGTGTGATTAGGATGGGTTTTGTTCTCACGACCGAACAATGCAAACGGATCAACCGGCGTAACCACTTGCTTGCACATCACAGCGTTCGTGAGTACGCATTCTGCCGATTTTTGGGGTATCAGCGCTGAGGATACTGCAAACCAGGATGCCCACGACTCCTGCAAGCAAATGCGAGACACGAAGTCAGTCGAGAGCTTGCAAAGCCCATCCCTTCACTACAGCTGAACTGATGCATGTTACCATCATATTCAAGAGTCCAACGCATGCGAGTTTGCTTAGCACATCAGGGCGGAACTTAAGAGTTCTGTCCAAGAAGATTTTCAGCCGGCTCACTGCATGTGAGGGCTAGGATTAGGCGGCTTGTGAACGAAAGCAACCACAGCTTGTGAGGATTTTTTTAATGGATTGATGGTAGCCTGATAAACTGTGGGTTTCGGCCCGGATCGAATTCATCTGGCCTCTCGCTGGCAGAATCAGCGGACTTTCCAGGCGCACTTTTGGATTTGCTCTGGTGAATTTAGACATTGTTGATTCTTGCTGTCGGACTTTCGCCCATGTCTTGCAGCAGCACGACTCTGCCGTGGGTTTTGCGTCTGATGTCTTCCATGGTCTTGTCCACAGCGGGTTCAATAGCAAAAGATGTTCGGCAGGAAGGGCTGCAGCGCTTGTCCACCACAGGGTGTCCCGCTGCTTTAACGAATGCATCCATGACCTCCACGTCACACTCAAGCGCCTATGCTAGAGGACTAAGCAGCACTGATGGAGAAGCCAGCAACCTCTTTCTGAATGGCCCTGTCCTCACGATTTTGTGGAGGTCAAGTCTGGAGGCGACACATTGAACAAACTCCAGAGCTTCTTGGAAGCCCGCATGTCCATTGAAGTCAGTCCATCTAGGTCAGGATGTTGAAAGATCGGGAAAAAGAAAGCGAAACTGGAAGCAGAACCCTCTCCTGCGGGGAACAGCATCACTGTGCCCAAGTATCGACGAACCGAGTCCGGGGTTGCCACGCATGGAAAGCCTCCGACACGGACACTTAGAATAATCATAGCCATCCGCGCACAGTTGCCGTGCACATCTCACACTTGTGACACGTACAGAGATGAGGCCACGGCCCAGCGTCTCAAGATCCAGAATGAACACCTGAAGTGTTCGGAAGGTATCCTCAGTGTGCGTTGGTGAATCTATGGGCAGCAACTGTACAACAAACATGTTTTCCTGAAACAGCTCTCTACTGTGGGGACAAGGTGACCCCTTCTCACGAACTGTGAGCCTGCCATCTGACATTACATTAGCCAAGCTGCACGTATTTGTCTGGGGAAGGCCACTGTCAAGTTGCCGATCACGCCTTTGCGTGGTGACCGACGCGCAGGCTGCACACACGTCATCCTGCTATCAAAAGGAGGTACGTGGTAGCACAAGCCCAATCCCAACACCTTCACCTTTCATCAACTTCCTCGCAAAAAGGGGCAGGGCTGTAGCAGCGATGGGATGTTCAATATCGAGACGATTCCTTTGCAGATTCCTAGTGGCAGGCCCTGAATGAGCCCTTGACCTCTCAGGTTCCTGCCTACCTTCTGCAGAGTCATCACCATCATGCCCAATGCCTCATCTCATGGAACATATGAGCTCATATGGAACATGGCATATCACTGAACATCCGCGTTGCCCGTGCTGGGCCACCGGACAGTCGTCCCGGTCAGCATCACAGACCTGAGGAGGCATCGATTGTCTTTAGAAACTCCAAATCAGGAATCCTGTTGAGACCGGTAGTGGTCTCGCAAATGCCCGATATGGATAATCGCTGGCATATGTTGCTGCGTGAAATTTCCATTCGGGTATCCTCACAGGCTGTGATCAAGCAGTCGGGGCAGCTCTACTAAACGATTGGGGGGAGAGTGTGTGTCCCACGTGTTTCAACTGTTTGGCGCCCAAAGCTGGGCTCGCAGCGCCTTTGCTGTCATAGGCGAGTTGAGCAGATAATACGCGAGCACAAGCCTGAAACCGCCGTGTGACATACATTCAGACAGAATAGCATATAACGTTTGAAGTGCTGGCAGATGTCGCGACAAGCAGAGGGCGCTGAATGGCTGCTAGCTTCACGAGCAGGGCGCTAAAAGCATGTATAGCATTGTAGCTCTCACAGTTATGACACTTCATCAGCCGTGTGGAGTCAAACGCATCAAGCTGACATCGGACAGATTGCTCACTGATCACACAAGCTACATCCCTCCACGTGACCCGCAGACGGCAATGCAGAAGCCGCCAAACAGTAACTCCTGGCGACTTGCTGGCAACTTTAGATGACTCTGGACTGCCTTGCCTTTACTGGTCCGCCAGTCATGGTGCTACATGCACGTATTGAACTCAAATTCGAGATCAGCTTGGCTTGCAAACAAGCTTGCAACGTTGACCGCAACAGCTCTTCGCTGGGGTATACAAGCGCAGCAAGCCCCAGCAAGGCGCCTGCCGAGAGGAGACGCAAACAATGCAGACCTTGCGCAAAGCAAAGCATGGTCATCCTCAGTCACGTGCTTGGCCTAGCTAACGTCACCCTGTGTCCCCGAATCTTCTTGTGCCTGACCGTCAAAGTACTCTCTTTCGCGGCACCTCGGCTGTGACTGCACAGGAAAACGAAAATCATAAAGCATCGGACTTCTGACAGGACACGCAGCGCACGGCAAGGTCGTAAGACCTGCAGAAGTTGCAGAAGTACGATAATAGAGATGCTCTGTCCCGCCAACTTCAGATGCCTCCAGTGCAGGTGTTGGGCGGGCCCCCAGGGCAGTGCGATGCTGGGACGCACTTGAACAGCTCCAGCGGTTGCTCCCAAGTGCTATAGTAGCCTCGAGCGGGGGACACTGCATAGCTTCACTGAAAGCATCGAGGCCCAGCCTGCACGGATCTGCGGCGTCAGCTCATGGGCAATGCTGGAACCATTAAGCAAGCCTCAGCAGCTTCAAGTTGCTGCGTTGTGTCCGTTGCTGTCCAACTTCTTATTGGAGACCCTGCCGACCTTTCAGCTTCTTTGTGCAACAGAAGGATTGCCCTGATTTGAGCAGATTGCAACCCTGGAGCTGGATAAGGTCGACAGAACAGGGCAGCTCAGACCTGCCGGACAGCCATGCAGGCAATGCTCGCGTGAATACGTGACATAGAAAAGCCATCTCACCCCAAAAGGCAAGCAGGCATCGAACTGCAGGCGTATCGGGAAAGTGAGTGGGCTTGAGGAACACAGCGGCCTTCTGGGCAAAGCTGACATGACCTGTTGTCACCCTTGCTGATGGTCCCAGGCAAGCAGCCGCAGTCCTCCAAGGTTTGAAGCAACCAACTGTGGGCAAGTCAGCAAGTTGGTAAGCTGGAGCTAGAATGTAAGCGGAGTGAAGCGATATGTTCACTATCTCGCAGTGCATCAGGCATGTCTACTTGGCACATCTTAGCACATGTCTGCCCGCGCTCCAGCAAGCAGAGATGAAGCAAGCTGACTGAACTCTGAAAAAGTTCTGTCAGCAAATTTAAGCTCCAGATCAAGAGTTTGCGATTGATGTTCGTCACTGCCACTGCTTCCCTGAAGTTCACAAATAGCAACTCTTGTCTGCAAGTGTACACAGCTTGCCAAATACAACGCTGCAAAGTGGAGCTTGGACAAGATCCCAGATGGCCTCCTCTGACCACGATCCCAATCCCAGCGTTGTGGTTCCATTCTCACAAATCTTGCATTCTGTTGCTCCCTGGCAGGTCAGGATTGGTGAGAGCACAGGCACTTCCAGAGCCTGCGATGCCTGCATCTGAATTTCCGTGTGGACTTTCATCCAAGTCACCATAGCATACGACGCAAAAAAATAGCAAGCTGGTGCAGGTGCGCCTGCTCATCTTGGAAGCGGCCCACGGGACATCGCATGCAGTCCACGGCACCCTCCTCTGCAGACAATGACAATGCTGATATCAACGGCCACTCTCAAGCAACCTGCGAAATCACTGCTAATCTCCTCGTCTTGGTACTCTCCTTGACTGCACGGGTCGCAACCTGAAGCAGCTCCTGGGAGAGTCACAAACATGGAGAACGAAAAGTGCGCACCGCCGATCCAGTTCCACTTTACGTCTGTCGTGGCACACAAGGCACCTTAAGGCACATCAACGCACTCTAGCACACGCTGGTCGAGTTGACTCCGCCAGCCCCTCCTGATGACTGGCTTGTACCCGGAGAACACTTCTGACAGATGTGAGTCGTCCCTGCAAGACCACAAGCTGAGAAGGGTGGTACGAGTGGTACGAGTATGTATGTTGTGCGTGAACTCAGCACAGGCTCGCTGCCTGCAGTGCTTTTGCTGAATCAAGAATGCTGCAAATCCAGGATCCCTTCTGCCATCGAATTCGGCCTAGATTGGTTAAAGTTCAGAATGCTAGCAGGTTACTTTAGCCAACTGCTTGGGTGACTCTCTGGCCATGATAGCTAGGCTTTGCCGCCTACAACCTGCCTGTCTCAGTGCAAGTAAGCTGAGATGAAGATCTGAGCTTATCCTGCATGCTGAGCTAATCCTGCGCACTCCCTCGCACCTCCCAACAGTAAACGGCATGCTGGAGACATGAAGCCGGAAGCGGACATCACTGAGCTGAGCAACAACTTGTTCTGAGAAGGAGTCTTGCAGAAGGTGCTTTAGCATACGTAGCAGTGGAAGTCATCAGACTGCATAAAGCACAAACTTCCAAACGAACTACCTATGCGTTCATCTAGAAGGTGCCGTTGGTGAAGTTGTTGGGTTCCCTCTGGCCTACACAGAATGTGTTTCTGGAAGTAGTGTTTGGAGACGAACAATAGACCGGCCTTTGGCATCCTGCATCTCCTGGGAATAGCTGCCGCTCTCACACGGCCTGCACAATACGTGACCGTGTAAGCGGAAGGGCCTGCAGTTTCACTTTCAACCTGGGATGTCGTTTGCAATCCCAGCTTCTCCCAGCTACAGGGCTGGGGAGGATTTCAACAAGTAGCCTCCCCATATCACGTCGCACTCTCATATATCTCCTCTGAGAAAAATCAGTGATGTTGAGCAAGCCGACCTGCACACATGCCGATGCTTTTTATCCTTTTCAGCAAGTGGCATGTCTGCAGTCGCTGAAGAGGGTCTCTGGAAGTCACTAGTTAACACCGCAGCGCAGCGTTACATAAGTTCACCAGCCCACTCCGCCCTTGATACTTGCGTTATGGCTAGCTAGCTGCCTCCGTCCCCGTATTCGATCCCGATGTACGGGACTTCTCAAAGCAGCCCCTATAGAACCCTTGCTTGGACCGTCATTATCCACTTATCATCCCAGCATACCTCCTGAGTCCCCATTGCGTGACACTCCCAGAGTGCTCCAGCCTGCATCCCAGCTCCGTGGAACCCTCTCGCTCTGCGACCTGCCACCCAGAGGCTTCAGATCTATCAGCCTGATACCTGCGACGCACCGAACGTAATCACTGAGTCACAGGCATAGCCGCGACTTGGATCAAAAAGCCCAAAGCCGGGAAAGCACGCAGTGTCTCCTGCAAGCCTCAGTTGCTGCCACTGTTGCAGAAATTCAGAGAGTCACGTACTTGTGTGAGACATGCTTCCGGCCTCTTGCAACCGAGTGGCCAGGACGACCACTTCTCGGAGTTTGCTTTCAGCCAGCGACATGCAACTGCGTTGGCTGGATCCTCGCCTGAGGAAAAGGAGTTGGGATTACCATCAGTAGAGAGTCAATAAAGGACATCGGGCATTGTGATCCTCTTCTTTACGATAAACTGTCGCTGTTGCTCAAGACTCAGCTGCAAATGCTGGGGCGAGTGTTTTCCTGTCGTCCGCCTCACAACATGCACTCAGTCTAAAGCCGCGCAGAATCAAAACTGAGAAGATACTTAGCTGCGAACCTTGCTCATTACTCAAACATTGACAAATATTGAGGGGCAAACTATCCAAACAAAGCAGCTTGAACAAAAGCTGTAGCCTGAAGGAAAAACTTTTTCAGCTTGACCCGAAATGTTGCTATCGTTTTACTTTCCTGTTAGCGGTTTTCCAACTGTTGGACCTTATCGGCGCTGTTGTCGTTGTTTTCCTTTCATGGTTTTCTAACTTAAGCTCCACATTTTGCACTTCGCGGCGCGTCAGGATATGATCAACTCTAGCGCGGAGCTATCACACAACCCCCATTGAACTTTGTGAGTTCGACGCTAATGTCGTGAAAACAGCCTTCTTGAACTTGCTGATGTGAGGGAAGCAAGCCGGTGACATTCTGGCATTTGGTCACGTCCACCAGTGCAAAAGATTTTGATGCCTACGTTGTGGGGTGCTTTGATGCTAAAGTCTGGTGCTGGTAGATCAGACCAGATCGTCCAGAAGGCAATAGACTTGCAATAACTGTCTCTGTACCTATCAGACCTGTCTGCCGGGGGAGACTATGGGAGGAAACTAATGCGCGAGAGGCGGCCAACACACCTGGCATCTCTGGACCACCCTCCTAGCTTCCCTTGTTCCCGAACTCCATTCCAGGAAATAGTGCCGCCCGCCACATACAATTTGCCGAAGCACAGGCCCAGGACCCAGCATTTGAGAACACTAATCATGGTCTTGCTCTACTTCTCTTGTGCAAAGCAGCGAGGTCATCCTCTGAAGGGCCCTGTACCACCCCCAAAATCATTGAGACTGGTGCTTGTCTTCATGTCCATCATCATGAGGTTCACATCGTCCACGCTCCACCTCCATGAGGGCGAACGAGGGCACGGCTGAGCTGCAAGAAAAGTTGTGTCCCAAGAATTCTGAAGCCATTCCATCTCTCGCTACGAGTGAAACCTGGTATGCTCGGACGGATTCAAGGCAAACCCTCACCTCACTTAGCATCTGTGACGAAGAAGCTAGATGTGTAAGCATTCAAGCTCTGCTTGTTACAGTGGCAACTGCTGGCTTGGGAAGCGTAGAAAGATCCTTAAGTGGAGGTCTTGTTAGTAAACGTCTGTAACCCCTAGCGCACAACAACAACTGTTGAGAACTGCATGGTTCGAGGCACTGACTTGACCAGAATGTATGCAGATGAGTGGATGAGTTTGATGGGCATGTTTGATCATTTCAGGGGCATTCGAAATACTGGAACTTAGCAAATGCATACTACCTTCCCAGAGACACCTGGGGCCAGAGAAAGTCTTGGCATGTGGCTGTCTGGAGTAACCAAGTTGCTGTTCAACTTCTGTCAACTAGCAAAGGACCAAGATTCATGAAAGGCAAGGCAAGGCAGTATGCTGGCACGGAGGCAGATGTCTTCGGTCTGCCTATTGCAGCTAAGCATTTGAGTTACAGCACCGGCCTCAACTTCTGCACGAGGGCGACAACTGCTGGGGCAAGTTCTGCCAGGTTTGGGCTTACCAGCTTCTCCTTGGTGAAATATTCTCTCAACAAAAGCTTGTGCTACAGAATTCCTGCACAAACGGAAGCATATCTGGCCTGTGAGCCCCACAAAGCTTCACATGAGCTTGGCTTTCACTTCTATTGTTCGCCAAGGCTGATCCAGCCTCAAGGCGCTTGGAACACTTATCCTTGTACCCGCCCCTCCGGTGATGCAGCCTCTGACGGGTAACTCAGCGGAACTCCAGGACTTCTCCAAGCATGGGTCTAGAATCGCTCTGGGAGCCTTTCCTCTGCGTCAGTGCGGGTCCAATCAGCCTTGCATCAATGCTTCAGAGGAGCTTCTCTTTTTGTGGTCTGCAGCCCCACAGCCCAGGCGGTGCGGGTGGACCGAAGTGATCTGTCTGAGTCTGCGAGAATGCTTGCGGCAAAAGAAGGGTGTGATGTTGTGCGGCACAAATCAACACATATCAACACTCTCGGACCTTCTAACAGTTCGCAGGAGATATTCTCCGTCTACGTAGCAACTGAAGCGCTGAACCTTTGCCACTCGCTTGGGGTTCAAAGGGCGACATATGTAATCTGCACTAATTCCGCCTGCACACGATTCTGGGGGGGGTGCAATCGGCTCCTTTTTTCCGGGATTCTAGGCAGGTAAGGGGGGGTCCGGGCGGTTGTCTGAGTTCCGCACAGGTTGGCGGGGGGCCCTAAGCTCCAGGCCAAAAAACACGGATTTCGGGGTGTGAAAGGTGTGGGCGGGGAGGGGTTTCGGTGACAGCATCAGACGGCTGCGGTGCCGGCTGCGCCTGCTCTGTGCTCTCACCCCTCGACAGCCTTTGCCGACGCGGTGTCGCGATAGCGGTAAAATTAATCCAAGAGGCGATTGCCAACTGCTCGGGCGCGCTTCGGAGGTCACGGCCCAGCCAAGCCTCCCTGCAGCACCAAACAAGGAGGACGCAACTATGTAACTATGCCGCCACGATCCGCCACGTGCATCTGGCTTGGTCCTGTGCCTGTTGTACCGCGGGAAGCGCACTTCACGGGGACTCAAGTCGAGGAAGGTGTCGTCGGGCACCCACCACATGAAAAGGCTCTGCACCTGTACGCAAAGGAAGCCCGGATGGAATTCATGCTTTCCTTGCCTTGCCTTCTGCAAGGGGCGAGCTGCTACAAAGAGTCAAACTTGGAGCTCATCAATTCCTAAATGAATCGCCCCATCCTCAATGACTCAGCTCAACTCTGTGGCAGCCCCTGCCTGGCTTGGGAGTCGTGGATACTCCGCTGCAGTAGCAACACCCACTGCTAGCGGCATGTTGAAAGCCGTGGCCTTCCTGAAGCACAGATTACAATGATTACAATCTGCAAATATCTGCAACACGCGTTGGCTCTGAACGAAAACAGGCGTTTAGACTCTGAGCCACGCTCTGCATGATTTCCTCCACAGCGTAGCCAGAGCCTCCTGACAATCGTGCACTGCTGTCACATCTTTGCAGAGATTCCGATCTACATTCGATTGAAACTTGTAGATCAGGTCTGCGGAATCTGAGGCTTCAGAAAAAGATGTATTCTGGAAATCCAAAAGGTCATGCGGAAAACTCTGAAAACTCGAGCAAGAAACACACTGCTGACTGGAGCCCCAACATTTTCCCAGCCCAACATCGCTTTGGCATTGCGACCGGCGATCTGGTGGATTGGACCATTGGGAACAGGCAAGATGACATGTCTACACCTCTTGTGGGGGTTTCTCAAACTACCCCTACATAATCCTTATCATAAGTCCTTGCAGGTACCCCTATCTCAAGAAACTCCCTCATCAACTCTCTCGCTTTGATTCGGAGATCTTTCCCATCATCTTGTGTGTTCATTGCATCTGAGAGCGGATGCAAAATTGAACGGATGATTGAATCTGGGAGAAAAGACTGAGGATCTCAATTTGGAAAGCGGCCGAACGACAAGGATAGATGAAAGCCGAGAAGGGCATGGCAACACATACGGATGGTCGATCAAACACCGTCCCCCCAATGCACTATACTTTCTAGCTTTTTGCCTCAGGTAGGTGCGCTTGGCCTGATGCCTCTGCCCATCTCCGAATAAACTGCTTGTTTCCGTGCTCAGCTCAGTACCAAACGCTACCGTTTGATACAGCAACCAAACAACCTACCGGGACTCTTAAGAACAATGTTTTCAGACACACCTAAACAAACAGAGCTAAAACACAATCATTTTGTTTTATTCCCAGGCCTGTCAACACCAGGACGCACCGTGCGACGTTGTCCCGGCATGCTGGCGACTGCCAGAAAAAGCCATCCTCGGAAGGGGCTAAAGCTTCAACATACACGCAGACGCAGACACACTCTTGCTTTCGACAAAGTCATCCCTGCCTGGCACCGTGCCATCAGGGAGCCGCTGTTATCCTGGCATCAAAGCATCATTCAACAGAGTCGGTATGGCACTGCCAAAGGGCTCTGGGGAGAACAGAGCTGGTCCAGGATGCCAGCCTCAACGCCCCCTGTGTCACTGGTGACCTCCAAGTGCAGCAATTGCCCAAAGCTGCATCATTGAAAGTCAAGGAGATCATGGTGTTGCCGCTAGTTTTGCTCTTGCTGTTGGCAACGGCCTCGACATAGGCCTGCATGTTCCTGCTCTGCACGAAGCGCGTTTCCCGACCTTAGAGGAGGAAGAAAAGCGAGGCAACAACGCCGCGGTGCAAAGAAGCGGTGGACCACCAGCTACTTTTACAAACAAAGGTCTGGTGCTCAAAGACACAAACTGTAGCTTTTGCGGCTCGGTTTTGAGGTATGCAAGACAAGGAACTATGCTTGAGAATTTGTGCTGCGTTCCAAGCCCTGAATTCAATAGGCCACAGACTGCCGTGTTGAATTCCAACCCAATCAAGTGTTCACCCCTGCCTGTCGTTCAGGCCTCACGCATGAAACAACAGCAGCTTCAATGAAAGCAATGAAAGCAGGCCACCCGAAAGCAGTGTTTTTGTGGATGGTATAGGCTCTATGTTGTGTGCATGAAATTACAGTGCTGCCAGTTCCCTTAGCCTCAAGGGCACTGTGTCTCCGCTGGCTTTGGCTGATATCTGAAACACAAACTTGGAAACTTAGCATGAACCATTGGTACTTTGCGCTTGCTCGCTTCCAGGCTCCACTTTGAACTTTCTGGACTTGCCAGCCGTTTGATGATCTGATCTTGTTTGGTCCTAACTCGGGATTCGGGTCTGGGGTGTATTTCTCATGCATGTCTCTTCGTGATCGTCTGTAAGGCGTCAGGCGGTGCCGTGTGACGGCCTGTCTACGACTTGCTGAAAGCCTTTTTCAGGATGCAACCAGTTTGATGCATGTCATCGCGATGCCTCAGGCAAGCCACTGCGAAGACGTAGTTTTGAGAAGCACTCGTTTCTTGGACTGCTCTTTCTAGCGCCACAGGCAATGCCCTACCTCACGGCGACTCTCAACAAGTGCAGAGCAGGTTGGAGTTGGTATACTGCATACCGCTGAATACGATTCAGAGGCATTAGAAACTCATGTTCCGCATTGGGACTGTCACACGTTGCTCGCCTGAATATGAGGATGACTGTCCTGTGGTACAGTTGTGGCACCAGCTACAATTGTCTTGCGGTTCTGCTTGTGGTGAGGGTGTTCTGCCTTGTGCACGGCAAGAAAAAGCATCAACGTCCACAATCTCGACATATCTCGACATCATCAGCCGAGTGGCATGGCAGCATCTGTGCACGGCTTACTGCTGACACACCGTCGAAATATTGCCACGGCTCATACCTGGGAAGGCGTTAAGAAAAATGAAGGCCGCAGTACTCGTGCTTCAAATGCCTGCCAGGCTCCAAGCCATGAGGCATTGTATGCTCTATAGAAATCCAGAGGTATGCCTGCAGGAAAAAAAACAGGATAGTACACACATCTGCCAACCGTTTACTCACGCTTAGCTCGACTTGCTGCAGGCCTTCACCATTGAGCGCAGTATTCAAGGTCCGTTCTTGCAGGTACATGGACATTGCGCCGGTGTACCCGCTACCTGGACAAACTATCCAGTCGTGTCAAATGCGGGACCATGCAAGCTTTCGCGGCAGATGTGATACAACAACCCATTCCCAGGTCCACTGGGAGCATAGGGAGAATGCAAATGTCTGCGTCAGCCAAAAGCTGGCAGTCTGTTTCAGCCCAGCGTTCGCCAGAGCCACTACATTGAATGGCGGGTCAGCTGACGCTTGCAGCTGAGGGCCATGCTGCCCAGACTCTTTGGGGCGGTGTCCGGATAATCCTCAGGTGGCACGTGCCATACTACAGCTGCGCTCCTTGTTATGCGAAGAATACATGTACCCCGACGCGACCTCAACAGCTACAGTGCACCCTTGAGACTACACACATGCAGAAGTCCTTCAGAATCTGATCGAACCTCAGCACTTGCGCAAGTGCAGACAATGCCGGGATGTGCAGGGGGCCCGTCAAAGAAGAGTCAGCCACTTGGCTCGTGGCTCGATCTGGTAGAGTCTGACCCACGCTTCGAGATGTAGGTGCATCCTTGTAGTCTTGGGCCCGCATCCTTCGCCATCATTGCATGCAAGATATGCAAGTACTTCCGCTTCTTCTCCACGGCAAGACATAAGAAGGTTTGTCCGCTTCCTCTGTCCGCAACCTGATCAGGTGTTTTGCAACCTGCCATTGCGTAGAATCCATCGACGGAATTTCCTGGCAGACAACTTTGGATGCGCATGTCTTCTCGCACGTCAGCAGAGGAGCTAAGCCATGACCCTGACTCACGCATTAGACCTGCAAACTTGTTCCGATTCCGAAAAATCTGGCCTCCCACCATCCTTGCCGATACATTAACACCTAGCAGCTCTTCGATGAGAATTGCGGCCACCTTGGCGTCTCAAAGCATGCGAACACAGGGGTCCCTCTGATGCTGCACAAGGCCATGGACAGTTGTTATCTTGGAACGCCTCGAAACAATCCTAATGGAATCCCTAACGCGGAACCCTAGTCCCTTCATAATCCCTATACCTTGCCTACTAGCATTGTATCCCTAAGGTCTCGAGGGCCCCCCTGTTTTGAGAAACATCCTGCTGTGTGCTTGGCAGCACTGAGCAGACGCGCAGCTGGCCTTTGCAAAGGCGAGTCAGAGCCGCCACGGAACTCAGGGTTTAGGGGTTTAGGGGTTTTGGGTTTGGTTCGGGGAAGGAGCTTGAGCAGATATAGGAATCATAAGCGGAATTAAGGGGATTTGGGGTCCTTATTAGGGATTCAAAATTTCGCGGTGTTATTCTGAGCAACTCCAAGAAGGCTCTAAGGCAAGGAGAAGTCTGAGCTTGCAGCCAATCGCCAACAGCAATACCCAAGGGATACACAGCGCCATCCTGTGCTCGGTTGCGCAAGAACTGTTCAGTTACTGGCTCCGTTCTAAAACACAAGCAGTCAAGGGCACCTCTGATTAGCCACTAATTTTGAGATCTTGGCTGTTAGACTCTCATCTGAGTAGCGTTCTTTTTTCGTTGGACCAAATGATATTGTATCTTTCATAGAAAACCCATACCCAAAAGAGGATGCGATCGTAGATGATCGTAGCCTATATCAGGGACTAGTGACTAAATTTTCCCGATGAAAATACTAATCACTCACCTGGAGACCCTTTGAAACTAAAGGCTAGGACAACCGGCAGGGGGCGGCAGACAACCCACAGCAGCCATAGCAGAGCATTTACGATTTGCGGTTGACCGTTCCGGCCAAGACACCTGATCCACTAAGTTGGCCAACCGTTCCGGTGCGATCCCGTTGTCAAAGCACTCGGCACGAGCTGAACGCGTCACCAAAGCCTTGATTCAGCCAAAGGCATGGAAAGCTCAAATCCAAAGTAATTCAGTGCATGGATGCCAAATAATAAAAGCCTCTGTTTCCCACCTGCTGACCTCGACAAGCTGGGATGTGTCATGGTAGAACTTATTCAGCAAGGCGGCAATGTAGGCGAAAACACCTATGGTGTACATCTCCCGCCATTCGGCGGCTCGACATTGCCCTAGTCTCTGGCAGTTGAACCAAATGTGCTGCATCCGACGGGAAAGTGAGTGTTGTCTCAGAGGCTCCGCCAGGACCTCTCAGCCAATCTTGAAAACGACTCTCAGGCTCTCAGGTCAAGGGGGTGGTGCCAAGAAACTTTTGCTCAGTGTGCATGTAAATACCAGCTCACTAGATAGTAAGCTCTACGTTTGGTGGGGTGAGGGTCCTGGATAGTCTTTGCCCTCTGCACTTGTCGGTCCATCGCAAGGCATCGCCGAGACTTGAGGTGACAAGTGGAGGCCGGACAGTCTCACTTCCCCTCGGTCTTGTCAGCTGGCTCCTCCGTCTTTCCATCCGAAGCCAAACTCCTGCTGGCAGGTGCTCTGCTGAAATTTGCAAGCAGCCTCCCTGGGAGAAGCGCACCTGCGTACCCAGACAAAGTTTGCAACCTCAGGCTTGGTCGCTCTTGCTCTGCTTGATACCAAAACCTGGAAAACTAAAATGAAGATGTGGCAAAAGGCAGGTTGACCCCACAGGTGAAGCATTTAAATTTAACTCTCATTGCCAAGCCATTCCCTGCTAGCCAAACAGAGGATTTACGTGGGGACTCTCGACCATCCCAGTGGCAAGCAGAAGACACACGATCGTCCTGACCTGAGATATGCCAGGTCATCAAAACAGCTGACCATGAAGTCTTGCAAAGAACGGGAACACAACAGGAACCGCATGCCTACACGAACAATTGTGCTGGGAGGCCAAGTATGCACAGACATCGTTGAAGGCACCCGAGCTGAAGCAAAGCACGATTGTGAAGAGCACCAAGAAAACAACCTGAGGCCAGGCATCGGTCATACAAGTCCATGGAACACACTCTGACTTTAGCAGGGTGACGGGATACAAAACCCGATATGCGAAGGCCAGCTTCTTCGCCAATTCCTTCAAACATGGCTTGCTCTTCCACCGGTCGGCCAAGCGAATACTGGAAGTCAAAAATAGGCTATTGCACTGGTGACGTCAGCGAGGGCCTCAATCCTAGTGCCACATACTGCCACAGCGTCAACTTTCATCACCCTACCTCATTCTTGTAAGAGTGGAAGGTGATCCTCACTTGGCACGACTTGTTGTCTAAACCCGGGCTGCTGCACAGTTCGGCACATGAGCTGTAAAAAGTTTACAGCCCGAGTCTCTCCATTGTAAGGCTCAGCACGCTCACCGAGCCTTAGCAGGCTCAGTCGGCTAAGTCGGCAGCTGTAGGCCACCAACAGCTCACGAATCCCAATTGAAGTGAGCCGTACCCAGAGGTGGCAAGCTCTCCAAGCTGTTGAACCAGGGAGCCGATTAGCAAGCAAACCATCTCGTTGTATACATCCGTCCACGAATCTGGCACTTTGGTTTTGGTCCTGACAAGGGCAGGAAGGTCAACGCCACTGCAAGATCAGCGTCCGTGCTATTCGCTGCCGAGACACAGCAGAGTCATCTCGCCTGGGTGTAGCTCATTGGTTTCTTGAAGCTGCTGCATACTTTCGAGGTCGCGCTAGCAATGCATCGGGATGGGGTGGAGAGTTCCAAGTTGCACAGCCTGAATGTTGCCGCAACGCAGATCCAGCACACTCGAAGCCACAGCTTACCCTAAAGCCTGCCGTTACACAGATGAGTCGGCGGGTTGGCAAATCTGAAGCCTCCTCAGTGGAGTGGGTATAGTAAGTATAGTGGCAAATCTGCCGCCTTATAGGCGGAGTGGAAGGCAGCAGCCCAGAATCCCGAAAATGAGAGAGAGTAGCAGGCACCCATCCACAAAGAGCGAGGAAACGGCAAGCAAAGCGCAGGAAAGACCTGTTTATGTACCACTGGCGGATGAAAAAGACACCAGCAGTGAAGGCTAGAGGCTTGGGGTGTCTACCCCGCACTCTTGCCAAGCGTGAGGTTCAGGAGTTCAGGTCTCCAATGGGTTTACAGGACATCGCAAACTTGTGGGTGTCTTTTGCTTGAAAGACGTTTCGTATTCCTTTTGCAAAGACACCTTGCCGATTTCTCTCCGCATCTTGTTTTCCTGGAGTATGCCTGTGGCGGCGGCGCCTCTCCTGCACCTTGCTACCGATTGAGGCTGATTCATTCTGACGATGCCTGCTAGCAAACCCGTTCTCCATGTTCAATCAGATACCGCAATCATCCTCTCCAGAAAGCACAGTTTTCACCCTGTTCCATGCTTCAGGGGGGCGTGGCTTGGGTTGGTTGGCGTTCTCCTGCGGGCCGGCTTCAAGGGGTTTGGTCAAGGGGGCAATGGGCCTTTTCTGGGAACGGCTTTTCATGCATTAGTTGGCACCAAGGAGGCTCAGATGGGACAACAGCGATTGCACGCATGGCGAAACTCGCATCATTTAATTTTGTGGTTTAGCTTTGCTTTTTGAGCTGTCCTTGAATGTCCACACATGGCAATTATGCTACCGTCTTCTTGTCCTTGTTTTGCTTGAGTATCTCGGGTTCAGCATGTGCCTGTCAACCATGTCTTTTGTTTTCTGCAGTTCGCAACCCCTTGTTTGTGTGTTTCTGGGGTGAATTGGTGCAACAGTATTCTTTTTCAACCCGTATCTTCGTTTAGACTGTGGTCTACTACAGTGAAGCACATTTGCTCGCTCTCGATATTCATGATCATTCTGGATTGGTCGCTGGATCTGTTCCACATTTGACCTTTGACCTCAAATCCACAAGAAAGGGCGCACCCTCGAACCGCCACAGGTAGCAGGCTGTACCCACATCCGACAATAATTCTGCCACGTTGCCTAGCAGAGAGATGACGCTAGATGCGACACGAGGCATTGTGAAAGCCGGCACCTTGCATTGGCTGTTCCAGGTGTAGGGTAGGTTTTGGGGGCCTATAGAAACCAGTCTTTCATAGGGAACGTATCGGGATTGAGGACAATTCAAGTCAAAAACATGTTCCAACGCTACCCCTGAGGTCTGTTGGAGGCTTCACGTTAACACATCTTGCTCGGTTTGCAGGCCCGGCGCCATTGGAAAATAGAACACAGAGTAGGAGACCAACAGCAGAGTCATTGTCGGCCCAAATATCTGACGTGCTGCAGCTCCAAAGCCACCTGAGCACTTGGAAGCCAAATGATGTGGTTCTCTGAACAACGCAGCTCCCGGCTACTCACACTGAAACTTTGACGGGTTACGAACTATGTGGATCTGGAAGAGACCACGGCTCTTGACCTGGGACCACACGGTATGGAGCTTCAAAGTCAGTCGGCAGAGGGTTGCAGAAGATTACCAAAAGACTCTCCTTACTTTGACGACAGTGGCAGAATGACAGCCCTGACACAGTTTGCCTCTGCATTACTACGTCCCATTTCTGCTTAGCAAAAGGCTCTCTCCCTTAGCTCGGATCATTCAAAAGCTGTGGATGGCACGGGCTCTCTGTAGGCACAATATGCAACATTTCGCAGCAAGTTTGATGCGCTGGCATCCTCATGCAGACACCTTTGAAAAGCCGGTGCAGAAAAACAAACAGCTAAAGCGGTGTCTGACATTGCTATGTTCCTAGTGCTCAAGAGCTTCAGCAATGGCTCGCCACGGCATTTCAAAGCTTCGAAGAGTCTGATTTATCGGTTTATGGCGAAACGTCTCGGAGTCACGAATGAGTAGTGGCTAAGTGGAGTAAAAGTCAGCAAAGTGAATCACAGCTTGCCTGCAGCCAGCCGAGCACAAAGAGTCGGATGAGGCTGGGACCAGCAAAGCATCGGTCTCTTTGAAACTGCTAATGCCATAGTCGGGCTTTGCTCCTGAAAGGGCGAGGCAGTCAAAAACACGAAGCTTCGAAGTCATGCGGCTGCACATGCCCATGCCCATATCGTGATGGCTCCTCCTGAGCCACCAAAGCCAGTTCCTTACATGCTTGCCATCTCCGCACAGATTCCCTACAAGTCGTTGTTCCTTGCAGACCACATTTATAGCCATAAAGGCATGCACTATTTCTCTTTAGCGGAACATGCGACTTTCAGAATGATTTCTTGTCCCAGCCACCAAAACACTTTTTTGTGTCAATAAGATGGCAAGCATCCTAAATCTGGAGTTCAATTTCATGTGACAGTCCCAGTTGCACCAATCTATGCCCAAGGACTTGTCTTGGGGATTTCGCCCCCAGGCTGTGATGTTGGGCCATCATCGGTAGAGCGGCATCACGCTCTTTCTCTTTATCCCCGACATCAGGTGAATCATGCTGCCACATCATGCGCAGGCACGAGAATGACGATGACATGCTCTAACACAATCAACAGAACCTGCGACAAGAGTCTGATGACCGAGTCCCTTTCGATGCAAGGGTTATATACACGCGCACTTCTGGAACAAAAGACGTGAGGGATGCTTTCAGCATGCAGTGAGAACCCCTATGCTTAGGAAGAGTCACGATAGCCACAAAAACATCAATGTGGAGACCAAAATGCGTTTGGTGGCATCCTGTCACTTGTGAAGACTGCGGAATGCTGCAGCCAAATTTCCTGTTAGCACGTCATCTTTCACCTCACGCGCAACATCAGGAAGTGACTTCTGACCTGGGGGCTTGCTTCTTCCATTTCAACCAAGAAGCTCCAATCAGTGTCTTGTCAGAATGTGGTTTGAGCACCTGAGCCATGCATGCTTCATGCACACAATGCACAGTTCATGAGTGCAAATGAAGGCAGAGCTCGGCTCAAGCTGAGGAGCTGACGAGCTCGTCTGCCATCAACTTCTCGGAGGCTACAATGACTTGCAGAGTCTGTTTATCGAAGGGGAATGCCTGGGCGACAAGAATCGAAATCATGTGTTGGCTTGTAGACTATCAAGGACACCGGCAGATGTGTCAAAGTCATTTGTCATAGTCACCAGCATGCGCTCTACCTGGTCTGAGGAATTTCGATTTCCACACAGCAGTTCTCCGGACTGCAAATGGCTGTCAACTCGAGGCCTTCGTAGCCCAGCCTGACGACCATATCTTCACGCTTGACGAGATGATCTCAACGTTTTTGAAATCTCGGTTGGTGACCTGAGTCCCAGGCGCCCACTGAACAACACGCTGCGCACATCTTTTCGAAAGTAAGTACCATACACCAATGTCTGGCAGCCAAATCAGTTTCCTGCAGGGTCGTGGAACGCTTGCATCTTGGGGTAAGCCTCAAGCCCGCGTACAAGTCCCTACTTGCAGTTTTGCAGGCTGGCTTCCATGATTTTGAGCTGTGGGTGGCCGAGATATGATGACGACTACGATAATCGGGACTAAGAAAGGCATCACGGACGTATCCAAGTCTCCTTTCAGAGCCCTGGCCATCCAAAGCAGCTTCATGAACATCCGCTGATACACGTCATCCAAAGCACAGGCCATTCATTGCAATCCACACGCCCAACAGAGTCTGATGTGCTGCATTTTGCAAGACCCACACACATCACATTATGCGTCAGGTAAAGGCGTGTATGAATATTGAGGGCCGGTGTGGGGCAGCAGGAAAGCACATTAGGCTCGAGGGTCATTGAACAGCTTGGCAGTTTGCTTGCTTCTTCCGTCCTCGCATCATCTGTGGAGTAGCGGGTATCTTCCTTGCCAACAGGCAGTACCTATCATCAGATTTTGCATGCATGGAGGGCATTCAACTCCGAATTCCGGGCCTGCGCCACCTCAGGGTCATTCCAGCTTGTGGTCAGCACTATATCTCCTGAATGAAGCATTCAGAATCATGCAGCTCCCATAATGTAGTCACCGCAGGTACCCTTACAATCCCCGCAGGCAACATTGTCAGCATCCCTTTAGGCGTGACGAAAAGCAAAAGCTGAAGAGCTCATCAGAACAGGTACAATGGAAATTTGACCTCTCCTGTCCAGGTCTTTTTGATCACGTCAACATCATAAACACGCCTTGCGCAGGCACGTTCCTGTAATTGCTGTGATGCAAGTGGCATGCGGAGTCACGCCGCTGTTTCCTGACACTGTTGCAAGCCCACCCTGCCGCAACCAACAACGACTGCCTATCTCACTTCCCGTTCTCTTTGTTTGCTGTGGCACCTGCAGAAGATGCCGAACCTTGATCCACCAAAACCAATCTCAAGTTCAAACGTGGGAGTCGTGCAAGGCGCTGGCATGACTTCGCGAGGTCCAGTCAGGGCACCTGCGAGCACAGTCTTCGTACTCTCCGTTACTCTCCGTACTTGCTCCACTCATCCTGCTGATTCTCGTTATTGCTTCTGCGCCTCTGTCCTTACTGCTTTCGTGCCGATCTGCATGAAGATTCGCCTAAAAAATGTGTTCAGAGCTGAGTGGTTCCGTTCTAGGGCTTTGAGTCTGCCTCCGCATTGACGCCTCCGGAAGCTTCCACCTCCAGTAATGTGAGTGGTCCCTCATACCAGCAGAACTGCAGCTTGCAAAACTACACATCTGCTCCGCATTTCCCACACCCCACCCGTACTTACAGTTGCTTGGCAATACCAGGTAGGCCTCCATCTGTAGTGCACTGTTTGGCCTGTGCAAGATACCAGAGCGGATACGTCCAGCAACCCTGTTGGGTGCACGTGCAGTTGAGGCAAGCCTGCCGGCGATGACTTTGATCTTGGCGTCCTGGGTCACTTCTGCTGTCCCAGTGCTTCAGTTGCTTCTGCCCCATGAGGCCTGATTCACAAATACTTTCTGCCTGGTAGAGGATCAAGAAGCATTATAAGTTCGGTAACAAATGTATTCCAACAGATCAAAAAGCACATGTGTCTGAATCAACGAAGAAGTATTCTGAAACTGCTTGTGGACATGTATTGCAAGGTGTTATCTTGAGGCATGTTGGAATCAAAAGGTTTGTTGGGGTTGAAACTCGCCCGAATACTGTAAGATGGACATGAGGCCTTCCACAACACTTCAAGACCTCTCGAGGGCTGTGAACAGTGAATATTGTAACACAAGATTTGGAGCGTCGCACTTTGTAAGAATTAGATCTCTCTAAGGGTCGAAACGTTGCAAGCTGGAAGACATGTAAGCACTGCAGCATTTGGAGCCCTTCAACAACTGCAGCCAACGTAACTACAGCACTTGGAGCTGTTCCAGTGTTACAAGTGTCTCAAGCTTGAGATGGTGAAGTTCGTGCATTTGGAGCCGTTCCAAGCCTGGAAGCAGTCAACATTCAGCCTCTGGAGTTGATTTCAGAGCTGGAGAGCTTTGTATATTACAGAATGTGGAGCTCACTGTAGAACATTGCAGAACCACAACATGTGGAGTATTTGTCTGCAAATGCTGCGAATGACAGTCTTCCGAGCTCTTCAAACGCTGCAAACACAAAAGCCTACATCGTTTGGGGAAATTTCCGCCTTGGGCCCTCGGCCCAACGTTTCGAAAAGTCGTTGTGGTTTCAGGACGAAATTGGGTCAGCAAGTGGATTGTGGGTTGGGGACCCTACTCCAAGCGACATGTAGGATAGTTGTTGGGGCTTCAGAGAGAGGGAATCGGCTTTGCGGAGTTGGGCCCTCACTCTGCCCAGATCTGCCCAGGCCCTACCGCGCGTCCCCACCAAGTCCCATGGCAGGAACAGAGCTTTGTGATGGCGTGCTTCCAATGGTCTGAGCCCTGAAGCATGCCCCGCGTGTCCACTTCCCTCCTCGGAGGACAACTCGCAACATACACAAGACTGCAAAGAAATCAAGGCATGCAAGTAACAACTTGTTTTGGACTAACACCTATGGGAGGTCGACAGCGCTGGCCACCCTCTCATAACAGTTGTGAAGCCCGATTATGTCTAGACACAAATGGGGGTCGTCCAATATTCCTTTATCTCGAACTGGGGGCTTGCGCGGAGCTCGCGCACGCGCAGTTTGGCTAAAATGGTTTTCGTGCAGGCTCATTACGCTGACAAATTGAGATGGCTCCATGCTATGAAGCGCAAACGGCAAGCTGGCCAGCAACCAACCACTTCTTGAATGTCGCCGCGCGGCTGCTAAAGACTTTGAGGGAGCCATAGAGGCTGCCAACAGCTATGCGCGCTTGCCCGGAGCTTGCGCAAAGCTTGCGCAAATTCGCCGTGTAATGTTAAATTTGCGCTGTTGACGCCATGGCTTGCGTTGAGCCGTAGTTCGGCAGGCCAAAGCTTGCGCCCCCTTGCGCCGCGCTTGCGAGGAGCTTGCGCGCGTCTACTGCTTAACAACTTATGTTGTATTTAGTTTTCGTGTGTATAAATCGCAGACAGACACTCCTCAAATTTAATGAAGCAACCACCAACGCAAAGAGAAAACATATCAATAAAGAAGAATTAAGTAGGAACAATGGCAACAGCGGTAACAATGCACATGATAGAGCAAATAGGACATCGACAGCGATGTTTTTGGTCTAGTTTCCCAGGCTTCAGAGAGGGAGGAGAGGTTCAGTGGAAGGGGGCGGCCAGGCTTCTCCCCTTGCGCAGACGTCTCAGGAGGATAAATCTGTATCATTCTGATAAACCAACACTGATGGCAATCCAGATATAGGCGCAGCAACCCGGAATCGAAGGACTGGTGGACCAGATGACCACAGGACTGGAAGAAGCCAGCACGGTGGCTGTTGGCTCCCAGCATCGGCTTGATTCCGAAAACGTGTTGTCTTGATCCTGAAAAATTATTGCCGACCCTCATATCTGTTAGGGCTTTGGCGATGCGCGCGCCTTAAGCTTCCAATAGCATGCAGCGATGAGTACCGCCAAAGTCTTGGAATAGAAGCTCCTGCACGAGACCAGCAACCTTATTTGGAACACCCACGGGCCGTACTTGCCAAAAACAAAGAAGCAACCTACGTTACGGCTAGGGAGGCGGTGGTCCTAAATGATGCAGCATGCCCTCAACCAGTTAAGCGTGGGGCTGTACGAATCACCTTCTAATTAGGGGGGATCCCTGGCCGCACGACTCTTACGGATTAGGGATCTCCCTGATTTCCTAGGCTTGGATAGGTTTTGAACGGTTTTTAAAAAAGGGAAGTTACACAGAATCTGAATGCGACTTTGATTGGCCTACTGCGATTGAACATCGTTTTTTTAGTTAGATTTTACGTAGATGTCAATTGATCTTAGTTGGTAGCTAGATTTTGATTATGTTCTCAATAGATTTTAAATAGGCTGCTTTTAACGGATTTGAGAACGTTTTAAACCGATTTTGAATTGGTTGTATTTAGATGTTCATTAAATTTCAATGCCTTTTACTCTGATTTTGCTGGGTTTTATTACGACTGCATTAGGATTTTGATTCGATTTACTTAATCGTTCTTCTGTGGCTCTAATCAATCTTTATCCAGTTTTAGCTAGATCTCTATGGCACCCTACTATATTAATACCCCGCTACTGTTCAGGCCGTACGATAAATACTGCCCCTCCCCCCCGAAAAAAATTAAATACTGTTCGTAATATAAACATCAGGGAGGGAGCCCTTTCATATTACGGGGCAAAGATTATGCAGCCTAGGCATTCTTGATGAAGATCGCTTGAATCCGCAGTATGCATTCCAAGTGTCCGTCGTGCTCTGTGGTAGAGTGTCGCCTCGACGGAGCAATGTGGCGGCAGCAGCGGCATCAGCATGAGTTTCTGTCACGGTCAGGGCTGGTGAGGCGGTGAGGCAATGCAATTTGCAAGTCGCCTACAGCAAACACTGGCGCTGCCAGGAGCAGCGCCCAAAGCTGCCACATAAAGCCTCAGTAGGCGGCCGGAGCGCCTTGCTTCGGGAGTTTCTGACATGGTTTCCGGTTGTTCGCTGAAGGCCCCTCCGCTTGCAACACGCACCAACAGGACTGGATGCATGCCCTGCAGGCACATTCAACACGTGGGCCATTTAACTAGGAAAAGTACACTTGTTATCCGGTCTGCTTCTTGGTCGCGAGCCTCCTCGCATGTGGATTTGCATGAAGGGACTAGGACCCCGGCTTCTTCAGTTTTGAGACCTTGCCAAAGGTCTCCAAAACTAATCGGAATTGGAGAGCATTTCCACCATTTGCAGAGTTTATGAACGGTCTGGTGGAATTTGTGTACAGTCAATCAAGTGCCATCATCCTCTGCCTATCTCTGACTGTTTTGCTAGAAATCCTCAGATCACTCACCCTGCTGAAGTCGGCTCTTGTTCAGTGGCTGAAAGATGCTGAGGGGAAGGCGTATGTCAAGCTGGAGTTGACAGACAATGGAGGGCACAACTAGCCCTTCAAGCCCTTCGGTCCGCACGACCTAAGCTGTGTGCAGTTGCACGTCTCGTCTTCAGCGCAGTGTAGATGAACTTGTCTGAGCTTGTAGACTTTGAATACAAGTTTCAAATGGAATGGAAAGCTCTGCATCTCAGATCTCACGTGCAGAAAAGTCGGTCGCGTGGTGCTAAAGCCGTGGCTGGCCGTGCGCAAATACACCTCTGAGTGTGGCCGAAACCAAACAAACGCAGATCAGAAGCTCACTAACTAAATCAAACTGCACACTCCCCGCAGCAGACCCAAACTTGACCAGTCTTTTGATCCAAGTTGCTGAGTTGCGACCGTGGGTCTGCGTGGGCTTGAGCACAAAGAGTCCAGCAAGGAAGGTTGGAAACTTGATGATCGAAAATCCTGTTCCCAAATGACAATTATGAAAAATAGTGTTCTCTTTTGTTTTTCCCTTATAGACCCGCAGAAACCCAAAGTGGACTTCCCCGAAGGACCTGTAGATCAACCCCCAAACCCCAGTCATCCTGGCGTTTCTGGCATTCGGTGCAGAGAGTGGCTGTCTCAAAGTACAAATGGTTGAATCTCCGCTTTTTAATCAAAGGGCAAGCTAGTCTGAGTGTGAGACTCTGCTGCGGTGGTCAATGAGAATCAACAACAACTCACTGCACGCATATCGCCGCGGTTGGGATCAATATCTTGCAATATCTTGTTACACATACAAGACCTTTGGTAGCGAAGTACCATCTTGATTTCGCACAAGCTGGCTCAAGTTGGCAGCTCACACTCTGGGACCTTGAGATGGGAGTTTCTCAAAATAATCCCTGTATAATCCACAGTAAGGACCTCTGTAATCCCCTTTTACACCCTTTTAAACCCTGTACGTATCTTGGGGTTCCTAGAGGCCCCCTTTTTTGAGAAAGTCCCAGATAGGCACTTGGTATGCCAAGCTTCGAGGGCAGTCTCACGGTAGAAGCACAGGGAATTTCTTGAAACAAGGCGCGCCCATGGGAATTCAAGGGATATATAGGGATTCTGAGAGTCCCGATTTGAAGAAATACCCACATGGCTTCATGCAGCAAACATTCTCGATGAGCACGAGCAAAGCCGTTGAGGTGGGTGGAGGAAATTACGAAGCAATAAAGTCAACTTGTCATGTTGTCATGTGCCTTTTGATCCTACCCGGACCCCCGACGCTGCACTGCTGCAGCCAAGTTGCAATTCCAGCCCAAGGATTCTCCTGCATCAAGTGCACTTGTTTGGTGCTCGCATGGCATGCCTGGACACAGCAGGTGCCTCTTCCTCGGCTTCCACATCGCCCTCGTCTAACATGGGCTGAAACACATCGGAGCCTGGAAGAGGAGTGCACGTTGTTTGTGTTCACGCGTAAGCATATGTCTCAGCTTCTGAGCACATGTCCAGTTCCGAAGTCCCAGCTTGGAATCTCGGGCAACGTGCTCTCCAGCGCTGGCTTCCTGAAATAGCGGCTGAGTCACCCAGCTTGCGAATCTTGCGATGCAAAATCAAGCGATAGTGAATGTCACCGAGCGACGTGGCTTGCGCCAGGAGCCGCTGCGCTGGAGGGATGTTGTTGAGGTTCGGATGGTTCGGGGTGGATGGCGATGGCCCCTGGGGCGCTGTGGGTGCAGCCTGCGCTCGAGGCCGGACCACCGGGCGCCCGTGTGCGCCAGAAAATGCGCCGGGCGTGCTCACCGGGTTCAGCGGCACCATGGGCGTAATGGGTGCAGCGGGCCGGATTGGCAGATTCGGCACCGGAGCTCGCAGAGGTATGCGCCCAGGTGGGAGGGGTGAAAGGGGCGAGTTAGGCCGAAGCATCCCGCCTGGACACGGGAAGTAAACATGTGTAAACACGGTGTAAACGTGCAAAGCAAACGAAGCTAACAAACTTTAAACTTTCACTTTCAAACTTTCAAACAATTCATCGCGTTCTGACCTTGGCCTGGGCTCGGCCCAAAGCTTTGCCTCAGCCCAAAGCGCTCAAGTCCCGTGTAGATTGTTTTATTAAGGACTCGTTCTACTGATTCTAAAACGGTAACTAGAAGATCTATAAGGGGATGTAGCTTATACCTAACCTGGCGAGGCTATAACTTATGTCTGTGTTTTTACCTAGCTCACGTCCCTTGTTAGACGAGTGCCAAGGTGCGGAGTGGCAAGGCCTTGCCAGCTTGTTGCAACCTCAGCTGCCACCCAAGGTAAGGCCTACCGAGCAATACAAGCCTGCACAAGCGTTCTCCTGTTACGGCGCGGCACTGCTTTTATATCATGATCTGGCTGATCAGCAGTACGCATTAGTACCCAATACACAGTGGTGGATATCTGAAAGAAACACACCCCGGGGAGGCCGACAACTCTCTGAACTCTGCTGGTCAAGAAGCGGGCACATCCAGAGATCGGGATTTCATGTCCTCCGACTCCCTCAGCTCCTGCAGATTCTGACTCTTTTACGAATGGTTTTGTGGAATTGTTTCAAGTGCCTTCAGTCGCTGGCGTACCATGGCTTTGGCTTTCTCCTCAAGATGTTTTTGAAAATACAGAACAAAAAGCTTCGAGGCCTGTGCTACGGCAGTCAAGCACATGTAGATCTCATCGTGATTGCCTTCCTGGAAATCCAGCGATCCAATTTTGGCAAGCCACTCTCTGGTCTCCAATGATCTGGATTTTGTGGGGACCGTTCCCTTCAATAGGAGCGATGACTCCGATGAACAGGCTTCCGCCGCAAGCTTCTCGAATGGCCTACAGTTGCGACGTCCACAGTTTGGCTTGCTCAGGTTCCCGTCTCTTTGCAGGCTATGGCGAGGCAGATGTTATTGACACCGCACTTGCAGCAGCATACCAATGTTTTCGTTCTTCCAATTTGTTGAGCATCAGGCTTTGACATGCTCGCCACCCTTGCCGATGAAGAGCCCTGCCATTTGTGTTGGAGGTATGGTTAGCATTCAAAAAGGCAAAAACACAATGACAGCGCAAGGAGCCTACGACATCCGGTGGGACCACCAGGTCCGTTTCGTCGGGCTGCCTGGCCTCATCCTCAGGGAGCGGGCAACCTGGCGCAAGTCTGGTTGCAAGTCGGGTTGCAAGTCTGGTTTGTGATCCAGCCCGCTACGAACACTTGCAGTCAGAGCCTTTGGCCGCCAAAGTCTCTCGAATGAGAGCTTCGGCTTTCTCTATCTCCCCAACGATGGTGACTTCACCTGTTGCCAAGAACATGCCAACTCCGTGCAAGATTGGGCAGGCAGCAAGCAACCTTCTTCGGCAACGCGGTCGTGATCAACCTGGCCGATTAACTGTGCTCGCCGCCAGAGTCTTGTTACCCCGAGTTATTCATCCTGACCATATCTCATGCACCCGAGCTATGCAAAGATGAACGGGATCAAAAAAAGGCAGAAACAGCAGTCAGCAACGCAGAATCCTCTCAAACACTTGTTCAAACTTCTGCGCAAGCTCGCATCCCATGCTTGCTGTGCGCCGCTTCAATCAGCAGAGGTTCGGAGGCGCCAAGATACTTTGACATCAATCAGCCGCACAAATGAGTGTGCTGTTCTGGTCGGGCTTGCTTCTCCAAACTACGAGCTCTACTGATTGTTTTTTCTACCCAACAAATCCCAAACTCTCATCGCTACGACCGCTACCATCTTCAGGGGCAGTACTTCATCAAAAAGTCCTGCGGCCATCTTCGAGAGGGCAAGCTTCAAACACAGGGCCATGCCATGACGAATCCAATGCATGCGTGGTCCTGCCCAGCGTGCTCCTTCAGTACACCCCTCTTGATCTGATATTCGGTTGGCAGCTGGCGACTTCTTCCCCTGTCGTACCGCCTCTCGTCTCTGGCAGGAATGTAGCAGGCACTGTTGTGAGGCCACGGCGTCCTTAACCCTCTGTAGGAAGCAGCTGTGCTGCTTGCAGCGTGTGGTGCCAGAAGGGGTACCACCAGCAACTCAGTAAATTTAAATACGTTTCGGATGCATCTATACCATTTCACTGGCCACTCCATGTCATTTCAGGACTACGCCACCTCCTTTTTTAAGACACTTCTAATCACTGCGGGGGGACGAAAGCTGGAACCCTCCGTGGAGGAGCCTGTGCAACCCTTCAAATAGTGACATATCACTCTCTAAAGCAAATCGCAGGGATAGCTTGCGTGACAGAGAAGGAGCATTGTAAGAGGGGCTCCGTTTGTTATTGTAAGAACTATTGGAGCTCTCCTATTTGATAACGGGAACAGAGGACCCCTTTGATTTCCAGACAGCACCCACCTCGTATGTCCTACTTGAAGTCTGGAACCTCTGTTGTTCCGGCTTGGAACTTCAAGAGGTCTCCACTTCGTCCCAGAGACTCTGTCTCTCTAAACCTGGCAAATAAGGCGATGACACGAACTACCAGAGGCCATGAAAAAGACGTACCAAGAATCGTGACCCTTTAACACATATTTGTGGATTAGATTGTCTTACGACTTGTCTTGACTGGTTTTTGTGTGTTCCACGTGGTGTCTTCCGTTTTTGCGTTCTCACGTGCTTCCAAGTCAAAATGTATCTTGGGCCCTCACAGCAAATCAAGGCCCAGCCTCTCATGAACGTGAAAAGCACTTGGAAAGCGCGTGAAAACGAGGAGTCAAACAACCGCAGAACAAAGCGACACAAACGCTAAAAAGCGCGAAGGATGCATGAAGAGTTTGAATAGAAAACAACGCCGTTGAAAACCAAAAAGTAAACAAACAACGTGAACTTTACGGTCACGATTTTCTAGCCATTTCAGACATGCCCGCAAGAGAAGGATTCGCGTGTGGCTCACGTTTGTTTTCACAGCTTTCAAATTAACATGCTCCACATTTCATCCAATGAAAATTTCAATGCTGGCGCAAAGCCAGCAGACATGGAAAGGCTGCATACGTGTACTCTCGGCCAGACAGAAGCAGTTCACTCCCTCTCAACTCTTGCCAGCTACCTTGATCTCCGCATTTGCTCTTTCGCCTTAGCAGATCCAACTCGTGGGAATACGCCGCAGTGCAGTCAAGAAGGCAGCATGCACGTGTCCCTACCGCCTCGCCAAATGCCACTGAGCCAAAAGCAAATGCTCTTGATTGTTTCACCTCCTCTCCCTAGCAGGACTCTGATCTGAACCGCCTTCAGCATCATGGTCTTGTGCCTGCATGCCATTGGAACATCTATCGAGTCTGCTGTGCCCACGGCTGATGCCTGCATATGCGAAATTGCTACGATGTCATTGCTGATCTGAACATCCCCTTGTGTGACATTGCTTCAAGGACAGCTTGCACTGCCCAAACTGTCCAGCCTTTGCCCGAGCAAGTTTGGAAGCTGCGACCTGACAATGCTCGTGAAGCTGTATTTCCCACATGTTCCTGCACCGATGGTTTGCCGGCTGGAACCACACCTGCTCGTTGTGGGGCCCGGAACCACAAGCTGCCTCAGTCAGAGCCCAGGCTCTTGCCCTGTCAGAGATGAAGCAACCTGGGAGTCGTCTTGACGTTTGCAAGCCAGGGCTCGGAATTGGCTTGCCCGATATAGGGCCCTCCAAATCCTGACGAAGGAATTCGGCATCTCAAGCGTTTGATGGGACTTGGCTTGTTTGAGCTCGCTTCCTTGAGCCAGTCCGGTAGAGTCTCGGTTGAGGGAGAGTTGCCATCTCCTTGCAGAGGAGGGCCTGGATACGCACACAGACCAACATCCAACAACCACGTGCGATCTGTCCTCGGTCGTCCCATTTGCTCCGGCGCGGCCTGCGGGCCTCCTCGCAGTGACTTTCATACGACACATGCTGAGCTCAACAAACGCGCTTGCGTGAGGAACATGGAACAGAGATCTTGGCCCTTGGATGCCCTGGGTCTCCTTCTCCTGCTGCTCCGGCTGCTCCGGCTTCTCCGGCTCTGGTTCCGGGGCTCGCTTTTCCTCGCTGCGCCGGCGTCGAGGAAGTGCTTCCCTGATGGCCCGGGACTGGATTTAAGCGCTCTTTCACGCCCTTCCCCGCGGAAGCATGACTCACATCTCCCCCTGAGTCCTGTTTGTCTGTCTTGTTTGACGGCCCCGCGATCGAGAACAGGACCTGTCCAGACAACACAGCAGTGAATTGGTGAATTGGCTGCAAGATGGGAATCGAGCAAACAAGCCCCAGGCAAGCCACCGAACAGGAAAGTTAGATCATTGAGTCGCAGCAACACCAGCTAATCTCGACAGCTACTTTATGTAATGCAGACACGCTTACAACACAATAACTGTGGACCTTCAAAAAAGCTGCCCCACTGCTCCGCTTGTGCTGGTCTGAAGATGCTAGCAAGGTGCAGCAACTGCACAGTGCATCTGTTTCTTCTGTAGCACGCAAGAGCAAGTTATGATTGACGATGCCATTCGTGCCAAGTGAAGTGGAATCTCTGGGGGCAACGCCAAGCATGGCTAAGTGGGAAGCCCTTAAGGAAAGAGCCGAATCCCAAAGCTGAGCCGGCTGCCGATGCGGTCTGTCTCTGGACTCAGCGACAAGCTCCGGAAGACTCCAGCATGCCAAGGTTGCACGGCTACATCGTCTGTCTTACCATGGGGTTCTGGCACGCCGCCGGTCACGACCACGGTCGTTTTCGGCCAGGCGCGGACCGCGGCTCCGCAAAGGACTGAGCACAGGTGAGTTGCTCCTCTAACTCTTAGATCTGAGCAAACTGAGACCACGCCGTGCTATGTACCCGGCGGCCGGTTGTCACGCGATCGACGCGGCTGCAGCTTCAGAGGACTTCTTGAGCGGCTATTGCGTCGACGCATCTGCTGCTGTTGGACTTACTGGACTTGAGGCTTGACTACTCAACTCCTTCATTAACTGCAAGCTTTTTCAGAAGTCAGACGGCGCTTTTAGACGACCTACTATATACAATACCTAGTTGCGTGGTGATGGCACGTATTCTGTCTTCCGCAAAGGCGGCACGTTCTGGTCTAGGTAAGGTCGGCGTCTCTTTCATGGCTGGGCTAGGATGGCTAGGATGGCTAGGGTGGGGGCTAGTTGGGGCATTTGCATCCCAGTACTTGCGTGTTTGTCTGTCAAGTTGCAAGGCTCAGCTGGCGCCAAAAGCCTTGCGGAGCGGAAACCAAGACTGCTTGAATACCAAGATATAGTCAAGGAGTCTTGGGCATAGTGACTTAGTGCATAGTGACCCTCCAAGACTTGAAGTGGTTTGCAACTTGCCTTTCAGCACCATGTTGGATCTCCAGCCTTGTGGCTTGTGCAAATGGCGATTTTCGCCAAATTCTGTACAGCACAGCTCTTGACGGCTCTTGCTGTCTGACTGTGAATTCGATCACTTCGATTCCAGCCATCTCAAACGGCAAGCTGATGATGCATGGCGGCAGCGTGGCTGTTCTGTGTCCCGCATCTGAGCACAAGGCGCCCGCTGACACAGCTGAACTGTTCAGCCCCGCCTGGTCAGAAATTGAATAAGTTCAAGCACCCCAAATCTGAACTGACATGGCTCTATGTGAAGTCGCCATGCCTTGCCACGGGCCGGCGAGTGGTGACCCCAGAAGCACGCAGCCTCTGCTTGAATGCGCCTGTCCCCTGCCCGACTGTTGTCATACTTTCCTGATAAGGTCCATGCTGAAGATCCGAGTCCAAGTCGTCCAGGGCTATTCGCTCATCTTGGACCTTGCAAAACACAACCAGGTACAGGCGAGCCCAACGCGCTGCCACACGCAGCAAACGTTGGCCCAGACAGAAGCCAGTAAACGCGAGTCGGGATCCAAGTCAACGCCGCCATCTGCATCGCATACAACAGAAATCCAATCCACATGCTGCAATGCGTTCACATCACTCAGTGCTGTAAACTGACATTCAGGCACCTGGCCCTCCACTCCTTTTGGCCTGGCTGGGAGAACTTGGACAAGTTTGGCAATGGCTTTGCAATGATTTGCCTGCTCCAGCAGCTCCGGGGGGACACTCAGATCAAGTTTCTTCAAGGGCCTGCAGCAGCAACAGCTGAAACTAGTCTTCTGGCCCACTAAAGGGACTGTTCATGTGGTTGTTGACACAGTGCTCGTTAGGGGTGGGCCTCTCTAGGTCGTGAAAAATCGGGGGGTGGGTGAGCTTCGTAGCAGTGCTAGCAAAGGGAAAAGTCCCTGTTTTCATCCCCAAAATGTGTCATTGGCTACTGTCTGATCCGGGGGATGCACAATGCATGAAGTAAAAACGGAAGGGGCGCACGCGTCGATCCCACCAAGGATCTTCTTCGCTGCCTAGGAAACATGTTGAGCGGCCTTCATGCTATGCTTTTTAGTGCAATCTCACATTGCCTTGGCTCGCTCCGAGTTCTCACGATGACGGCTCCAGATCTGCCAGGGCATCACAAACACAGAACACCTGTGTTATTCGAGCTGCCTGGGTTTACATCTCGTCCGCAGGCCACATATGCAAGAAACTCTGCTTCTGGCTGCCTCCAACAGCGGTGGATCTTCCAGAGCTTCCTGCGCCGACTTAGTCACTTCACCCAACAACCAACGAGATTCAATTTTGGGAGTCAGCCATGCGACAGCACTACAAGCTTGCGAGCTGTTTTTCCTGCTATACCTGTGAGGTCCTTCAGAGACTCGGCTGTTTGCGTTGGCGCAGCCTGGCTGGCAAAGCGGAATCCCGTACAAAGTGATCCGAGGTACTGTGGGCATGAATGCTGTCAACACTATGGAATTTTTGAAATGGCAGTTTTGGTTACAATGAATGAAGCGAGGCGAGAAAAAGATGTGCGGAGCGCTAGGCTGGAGAGTTGTGTCTTGCCATGGCCTTAGCAGCAACGTTAGCTGGAGTCTGGGGTGCCAGAGCCACGATGCAATTTAGCCGTGTCACCCAGTTTGATTTGGCAGAATGGCCACCCAATTTGTTTGGAGATTATTGGAGACGGACCGTCCTGTCTTGCAAATGCCTTCCTGAGGAAAGAATACTGTTGCCGACAGCCTCGACCAGAGGAAGGATGCTAGAGCGTACATTGCCAGAATACCAAGTTCAACCTTGCGTTGTTCGTGCATCCATGCTAATGTGGGATTGCTGGTTCAGGCTCACGCCAAGACGAATGTACGGCAGCCGTGTCAGTACAAGTGCTCGGGAATCAAGCCCAGCCTTCTGTGAAGCATGGCCTCCCGCCACCTCACACTCAAGTGCGAGCAAACTTTCACTGACCCCACAAAAGTTTGCAGCTTGCAAGGCAACTCGCATTATCTGCGTGAGAAGCCCTCTCTTTTGCAAGTTTGCAAGAAAGGCTACTGCGCCCGTCTAGAATTTAGATACCTCCTGCCTATCTGCGGCCATCTGCAGCCCCGGCCTCTGCCTCATCCAAGTTTTCGGCCCGCAAGGCCTTCACCTCTCCGCTTCGAAACCGAACGTTCCTCCCATCAGGCCCATCAGCCGCTCAAGAGATGGCAAGAGTTACCACAGCTCATGATGTGCAGCGGTCCAGCGGTTGGAAGAAGCATTCCAGCTTTCGAGGACCTTGGACATCTGCGACTGAATTCCGAACGCTGATTCCTGAAATGGCCGAAGCGTGTGAGGCTTGGTGTCCGGCACCTCTCTCACCGTTTAGCCTGGTGGCCTCATTGCTCCGGGCTGGAAGTTGTTTTAGCAGTTTCGGCTGCGTCTTCATGCGAGTGGCCCTGAAGTACAGCAAATAATGCTAGAAAGTGTTCGGAACAACTCAATTTGACCCTTGCTGCGGCACAATATGGCCACACTTCGGCACACGATGACCTTGCAACTGTCCTACCCGATTCCAAACACAACACGACATGGCCTTGTAGCCTTATCGGCTGCAGGTAGGAAAACAATCTTCCCACCAATCAACTTGCGCCCGCGGGGAGGGGACGAAAGCTTTCAAGCAGGGTGCATACCAGCACGTGCATTTTTTCATGAAGCGGCGGAGCGCGAACGGCCTCCGCGCAACGTGCCCAAAAACCTGCCATCTGGCGTCCCAAACGGCCTCCACGGCACCCGAAACGGCACCCCAAAACCGGACATAAACAGACCCCTCATGACCCCTGTTTCGAGGGGCGAAAGGAGGCCTCCCCAAAACCCTCCTGCCGCTGGGTCTGGCCCACGAAACACGGCCAAATTTGACCACTTTTGGGGGTTTCCCCTCCCCCACACCCCCCTAGTACAGATCAGCAAAGCTGGACCTGGACGAAAGCTCAGAGAAGCTTTCGGAAGGAGCATGACGGCCCTCAGAGCCGCCCCATGCGCAGTACAGGCCAAAAGCACAAGGCTGAGGTAGAGTTGATGAATCACAAATGTTGAGGTAGCCGGTTTCTTATCAAGATTCTTTCCCTGTGCTGTACGCCTTGCGCGCAGCGCGCAGGTCGCATCATCCCTATTGAAGCTACCAGCACGGCTCGCAAGGCCTCTCGTGACGATAGCCATATAACACGCCGTCAACCCCTGCCTTCATGTCATGTCACCGTAAAGGCACTGGCATTGATGCTAAGTTCAAAAAGACCACTGCCACGTCAGCCGGCCAAGGTAACATCTTCAAGTACAGCAATGTCGTCAGTGCCCATTAGTTTGCTCGCCTACATCTTTGCTATGCCTTGAAGATACAAGCCCAACCCACCATCCCGCTTGAAAATCATTCCCTCGTATGCACTTGCTGAACAGATGGGGGGCTGAACGCCATGCAAACGCAGTTAAAGCAAAAGCACACCTGTGCAAACCACCGACAGACCAACAGGTCACAGGGGGCTTGCGAGCTGAACAGCGAGCTGAGCAAGCCGCGGAGTCTCCCAGGAGGCCACGCACGCGCACTGACGAGCCAGGCGCGAGCCCTGCAAATCAAGAAACGAGTTTCTCTAAGCATCACCTCCGAGAAACAAGTCTAGAGTCTAGAGATATGAAGAGTCAAGAACACACCTCCAACGAAGTCGTCCCGCGATGCCAGCCCAGGCTCCTCACCGCGCCAGAAACAAAGCAAACTGTAGATTCTGTAGATGCCAGAAAATCTGGCGGCTGCTATTTCAAAGCGCAAGAAAATCCTGAATGGAAGGGTAAGGCTGGCCGCGATGTTCGAATTCAGAATTGTCCCTTTGCTGTTGGCATGGGCGAGTGCAGGCACAGTTTGGGCCGGGCTTTGGGGCAGAGATGCAACAGGCTCTTGATCAATCGCCTGAGCAGTCCAAAGACATAGGGAAGCTTGAATAGAATTGGGCAAATTATTGCTGAACAGGATCACTTTGGACCCATGGCCTCTATCAGAACATTTTCTGGAAACTTCCAGGAAGTCCTGCAGCACGCTTGTGCTGAGATTTCTGTAACCCGTCTCCATTCATGAAGGGTCAAGACCTTGATCAACAAGCTCTCGGCTAGGCCGCTCGGCAGCTGGAATAGAGAGAGATGGAGAGAAGGTACCGCAACTAAATGTGTAATCGCAGCATATTGATCCGGCAACACGCTCCTCACGCGCTGGTCGAGCCACTCGTGCTTCTGACCTTCAGGCAAGGTGCTTGCCTTGCGTGTCTGAACTTCATAGCCATCTAGACGTCTTATGAAATGCGATGACAGTGACCAGAACTGGTGCAGAGATCTAGCCAGATCACTAGAGGCAGCCTTCAGGTATGCTTCCATTTGAGCTGGCCTCTGAGAAATGGCACAGTCTATCAAATCTAAATCTGATACCTCTCATGGACTTCTGGCCGGCCCTCTGACCCTCACTAATCTTTCACATGGCAGCAGCTCTTCACGGGTGTGGTCCAAGCGGCTCTCGACAAGCATCCGATGAGATGTCCGGTAAGCAGATCTGGCGAGAAGCATCCACTGAACTCGAAAATTAGATCTCTTCTTTCGCGGTCGGCTCCTCCTCATCGGCGCGCTTTCCAGCAGGAAGACCAGCGGCCTCGCAACGTGTTGCTTTGCAGGGAAGAGGTTCCAACCGACGAGTAAGACCGTGAGGCAGAAGATGGGTGCTCCATGTAATCATAATGTGACTTTCATGGCATCGCCAATGTACTTGTGGGCAGAGTCAGTCATGTGCCACATTCCGAGATATCTGCAGGCATGGTCACACAGGATAAGCTTCATTCGACATTTGAAGTGCAGCTTTTCGCCGCAGTCGCCCTGGCATGCAAATGGCTGGACGGCGGGTCTCACGTCGTCGTCCTCAAGGGCTACACTGGCGTACATGGTTTACAAACGGTAGCAAGCAAGAAGTCCGTCTGATGTGCACGCCAAGTAAACCAGTATCTCAGCAATGGATGAAGCCAAGCAGCGTCGTGCAGCGACCAACATGGTGCCATATACCGCATGCGCTGCCAAGTAGCGGTGTTACGTTTGACCTGAACTGGCACAAACACCAGCACAATCAACGTCTACCCCACAGACTGCTACTTGCATACCGAATTCACGCCTCCCTGCAGCACTGCCAAGTTGGCCTCACCGATGGCGGCCTTCCATAACAGAATAGGAAAAGTCATCATGCCATACGAGCGGTGAGATATTGGACAGCAAGAGCTACAGAACTATAGTACACAGAGATCACAGTTGCTTCGAGCATTACCCCTGTAGCTCAAGCGGACAGTTCGTCTCTGTCACTTTGAACACTGAAGAAAGACACAAAAAAAAACCTGCAAAGCAACACATAAGGGAGTGAACGCGGGTCTAGGCATATTCTATTATGTCACATGCAGGGAGCAGACCGATTTGGCAGGTTATCCTGCTTCTTATTGCGCTCACTGACTTTCCTCGATGTGTAAGGAAGGCAACCGATCAAAAGGGTCATGACCCCGGAACTATGTTATCGACTTGCACGACTGCAGGAGAACAGACAACACAAAAAGGGCGATGTAGAAAAACGTATCACAACACGGTATTATTTGCTTCTCGGACTTAATGGCGGCCAATGACTCTAAAAAGGAAGTCACCGCGCAGCCACTGCACGCAGCAGAAACCGAGAATCCCTGATCCGTGAAAATCGCAAAAATCTTGCCACAGACCGTTTTGGTTTTTATTCTTTGGCAATTTC